ACATTTCTTGAATAATTTGTGCAATATCTAAGTATACACGACGGCATATATTTATCAAGAGATTTTTTTTAAATCAACACAACACGTGATAATTCTATGAGCGCCTGGCGAGTGACTAATTATCATTAAAGTGCGGTGTACGCACCGCAGTTGAGTGGAACAGAGGAGCTGAATGCAGTGTCGCCCCTAGTACGTAGTACATAATAGCTCAATGGTGTGTTACCTCTTAACTTTTTTCTGCGTGAATACCGATTTCGATCATTTTTTTATTTGAGAGCTGGTGCTTCTCATGTGGTCCCATATAAATAAAATAATTGAGTCCATTACCAAACTTAACTCTTTAATTCACTTTACACTAATTAAACTACACTAATAATTAATCACACTGATTCACTTTATTCCGCTCCGAAGCTTCGCTTGTCTCGCCAAATTCAATACTTCCCCGATCGCACCTTGCAGCGCCTATAAATACACATTAGCACCGAAACATACAGAACATTCAAGTAAATACGCGCACCAATAGACAAGGCTTCGAAAGTTCGAGTGTCGGCTTCTAGAAGCTTAGTTCTTCGTTTCGATAATTTTATAACTCAAAAACTATTGGTCAAGTCTGACCAATAGTTTTGGAGTCATTTATTGTCTTCGGTCAATTCGTTAGCTATTTTTTATAGCATTGGGTGACAAACGAGCACACAGTCCACCTGTTGGTAAGTGGGTGCTGTGTATCATAGACATCCACATTTATCCTGAACTAAGGATCAAAATGCAAATGAGGACTAAGATGGAATGCCTTGATTTCAGTAAAAAGGGTCTCCGGTTCTGTACATGTTGAATACGAATCATAGCAGCATTACGCTGCTGTTTTACGCTGGTATTCTGTGAAAGCGTGGTACTGCCCCGGTTGAACAGACTCATTCGTGCTACAACTGAAATATAGCAGCGTGATTCTACCACGTAAAAAAGAATAAAATATATAGAATTAAGATACACGACCACTGAGTTAAAAAGTATTTAAATCAAGTATTTTCTGAATAAATAAAAGAAAAATAATACTCAAAAACTAAAAAGAAGGCAAGGGACTAGATGGTATGACATTGGTCCCTCGGTAGAGAGGTGTAGGATGCTACTTGCGAAGACACTTTGGCAGCCTCTCATCTCAGGGGTTCCACGTTTAAAGCAGGGGCGACATCAGAGGCAGCTGATTTAAATAAGCGCCGCAAATATGCGTCTCTGAGAAATGACTAAATATTTGTGTCACTCGCTATAGAGTCTCTATCGGTCCGTGCGGTCCACGTGTAGTAAAGTTTCTAAAGGAAATCTAACCGCGAATGGTCGTTGCTGCTGCTGATAAGAGGGTTAGTTCCATAGATGTTAGTTCTTTTCTCACTCGCCATTCAGCGAGGAAATGCAGCCGGCGTTTTTGACACGACACCACGGGAAGTAGGATATTGTGTAATAGTTTAAGTTATTACTTTTATTTTGTTTATTATAGTTTTTTTAAATATTGCATTTTACAATATGTAACGTAATTAACGCACATCCTCAGACACCCCAATTAGTATATTACGTTATAATCATAATAAATACACTATAATTTTCAGTTAAACATTGTTATGCACTGATTATTTATCAAATTAGTTATACTAAATCCGGAAGAATGTTGTGGTCACAGTACAAATCCACGAACGCAAAAACTTTAAAGTGCTTGAAATAAAGTTCATTTTTCTTTATTTTTATTGAATGACAGAATTAGTAATATTACAAATAAAACTGCACTCTTAAAAGTCTTATTACCTTAAGTTAAGGTCTATTTCAGTTTGTTTTGACCGTACAGATTTAGTGTGACTGTGATTTACGTAGTTTTAATAGTTTTTGGGATAAAAAAATTACCTATATTAAAAATGATAGGAATCGATTCAGTAAACGATTCTGAACAAACTACTTTCTCAAAGTGCGTTAATTATGTTACATGTTGTATATTTCAATGTTATGGAAACATTAAATATGAGAAAACAAGATGTAATTTCTTGTGTGTTAACGTATCTATAAATAAATAGATACGTTAACTAGTTAGTATTTTCAGCAAAAAAATAATATTCCAAGAAATACTATCTATGCACACAACGAGCGAATCGTGCTCTTTCTCTTTCGCTTTCGCTCGCTCGTTTGATTTGTTCATGTATAGCCGGCCCAAACTTTGGGTTTCAACAAAAAAAGCTCTTGTGTTCTATTTTTAAATTTTATTTTCAGTTTCGTTCACATGCATCGTGAAATGCGTCGCGTAATTTGAATGCAAATAACATATTTTATGTAATTTCTCTGCTCACTTTCGTTTGCAATTCGGTTTCGAAATTTTAATTTTAATTTGATAATTTTATGATTTATGATAGTTTTTTTTAAGTTTGAACTGTTTTTGTGTATAAAAAGTAGTGTAACATAAAATATTATATAGATGCGTAGATATTAGGTAGATACTGTACGTTTTTTAAACAAAATTAATTCAAGTTTAGTGTTTGAAATTGTGTAGAACCAATTAAACCTATTATGTATAACAATGTCCCGTCCGCTTACACGCATAATATGCGGACTATTTTGAAGTAGTGTAATAAATTAAAAATGTATTCTTTGGAGTAAACAAGTAAAATAATACTTTGTAATAGCGCCATCTACGTCATTTTATACGTAAAATGATTTTATGGTACAAAAATTGAATAACTCTCAAGGTGATGGTACGCACAAAATACGCTAGATGGCATAAACACGACTATACATCACATATGATATTAAAATATATAGATACAATATCAGATATTCGTTTCCAATACATAGGTACGATTTGATATAGGCTAAAAGTGATATTACCCACCTCTATAAGCGTATCACCTCTTAGTTGTGAATTAGTCGTAATATCAGTTTCACCTATATATTCTATCGCGCTCACGGTTTGTTCGGTATTCGAATCCATGTATATATTTAGATATTTTACGTTTTTGTTTCGAGTAGATATGAGATATACTGCGATTCAGACACCACTAGCTGTATTGCCGCGGCAGCGATATCGTAATATCTAATATATAGTTGGTTTGTCGTCGTTTGTGGTAATATGTAGTCTCTGTGTAAGGAATGGAAGAGATGTTTCACATGTAAAATGTATAAAAGATGATTCTGGAAGGATTTTGACTGACGATGAAAGTATAAAGAAGCGATGGAAGGAGTATTTTGAGAAATTGATGAATGAGGAGAATGAATGGAATGGTATGCTTGAAAACCCACCAGTGAATATGGGCTTAGTGAGAGAAATTAGTGTGGAAGAAGTAAAAATGGCTGTTAGAAATATGAAGAATGGGAAGGCGGTCGGCCCAGATGGAATACCAGTAGAAGTGTGGAAGTTGCTGAGTGCGGATGGATGGAAGTGGTTGAGTTTATTTTTCGGTAAATTGTTGCAGGAAGAACAAATACCTGAGGAATGGTGCAGTAGTATACTGGTCCCCATTTTTAAAAGCAAAGGAGACGTTCAAAACTGCAGCAGTTACCGGGGAATAAAACTCATGTCACACACGATGAAAGTCTGGGAAAGAATAATAGAGAGAAGAATAAGAGAAGAGTGTGAGATAACACAAAACCAGTTCGGATTCATGCCCGGTCGAGATACGACAGATGCCATTTTCGCATTACGCCAATTGTGCGAAAAGTACAAGCGCGTGCATAAAAATCTGCACATGGTTTTTGTCGACCTTCAAAAGGCGTACGATCGGGTTCCCCGTGAGGTTTTGTGGTAGGCGTTAAAGATGAAAGGTATGCCTGGGAAGTATGTGAGGTTAGTCCGTGCTATGTACAGAGCATCCCGTACATGTGTACGATCTGCCGCGGGAACTACGGGCAGTATCGGTGTGGCTGTAGGGCTGCACCAAGGGTCGGCATTGAGCCCTTACCTCTTCCTACTGATTATGGACGCTTTGACGTCGGACCTGCAGGATGAGGCACCCTGGTGCATGCTCTTTTCCGATGACATCGTGCTTGTCGGGGAAGAGGGCATCGAGGTACAGAGCAGACTGACGGGGTGGCAACAGAGGCTGGAAAGTGTTGGCTTGAAGATCAGCAGATCCAAAACCGAATATCTGTGCTGTGATTTCGGCGGTCTTTCCAGTCCTGTACCCATGTCGTTGGATGGCGCTATACTGCCTACCTGCTCAGATTTCAAGTACCTCGGCTCCCTCATTCAAGGCGACGGCAAAATAGATAGAGCTGTGCAGCATAGGATTAACGCAGGGTGGATGAAATGGCGACAGGTCACAGCCACAACGTGCGATCCCCGAATGCAAATAAGGCTGAAGGGGAAAATTTACAAGTCGACCATCCGACCTGTCGTCATGTATGGAAGTGAATGCTGGGCCGTCAAGAAGAAGGATGAAAATAGATTGCATGCGAATGAAATGAGAATGTTACGATGGATGTGTGGTGTGACAAGGATGGATAAGATACGGAATGAGTATATAAGAGGAAGCCTGAAAGTAGCGCCAGTGGTAGAAAAGGTGAGAGGAAGCAGATTGGCATGGTTTGGGCATGTGATGCGGAGGGATGAAAGTCATGTTACAAAACGAGTGTTGAATATGAATGTGGAGGGACACACGGGCAGAGGAAAGCCGAATAAAAGATGGGTCGATTGTGTGAAGAGTGATATGAGAATGAAAGGAGTAAGTATGGAAATAACGGCTGATAGAGAGGAATGGAACAAGAAGATTTACTGCGCCGACCCCAGATAATGGGAAATGGTTTAGAGAATGATGATGAGTTAGTTTGTCGTCCGATATATAGATGTTGAATATTGTACTGACATATAGATATTGTATCTATATACGATTTGTATCGCCCACTCCTAGCAAGTGGCAACATTGTTTTGTATACCTGAAAGCTGAAAGTTAGTTTATCATATGTGTATTGTGTGTATTGTGCATTATCTTTTTTGAAGAATAATGTAATAATTCTTCTGTATATTAAATATGTCAAAATTACGTCAGATTTTTAACACATCTTACTGTCGGTATTATAGTGTACAGCAAGCAAAGAAAAAACTGCCTATTATATCATGCAAACATCCCGAATTGAATCATTATGAGGGCCAAACCTACAGCAAGTTTGAAGGTATAAAACTAGCGTCGAAAGGATGGTTACATCCCAAATCTAAGAATGATCACTTCACGATCTATTATGAGGCCAATAAAAAAGAAAAAATCGGTGTATATAAGAAGAGTTTTGAAGAAGTTGGTGTTTGTAATGAGCTGAGAGAGGTTATAATTGCTCAGGGTTTTGAACAGCCCACTGCAATTCAAGCACGAGCGATTCCCGCTATTCTTGAAGGTTATAATACTGTTGTTACTGCTGAAACTGGATGTGGAAAAACATTTGCATATTTGTTGCCAATTTTTCAGCATATTTTGGAATGGAAACCAAATTTGAATGAGGAATTCAACAGTCCTTTGGCGGTTGTATTAACCCCTAGCAGAGAATTGGGTAAGCTTAGAAAACATTCACAAATGAATTTCAAATTTAAGAAAGCACTGTGATACTCTGGCTTATTATTTATAAATAAACTAAAACTGTTTATGGTCAGAAAATTTTTTTTAATAGAAAAGGGGAAACACATGCAACTCACATGATGGTAAGACTTCACTGCTGTCCGTTAACAACTGCATCACCAGAGGAATTGTATGTCTGTTGCCAGCTTTAAAAAAAAGAGTAAGCTCCTTTCTTTCGGTTTATCCATTTAGCATAACATAAGAGGCTATGTTATGAAAAGAAAATAATGTAGAATATAGTAATAAGTGATTATGCCCCTGATCGACTTATTGTCTTTTGACATGTTAAACTGTAAAAAAAATGTTTATGGAATAATCCTATATTTTAAAAGTATGTTAAACAATTTAAATTACAAAATGTGAAATTTGGTCTTTTCTAGTTATGCTATCTACTTAGCATTTATAAGGCATAGTTTAGTAGACTAGAGGTACACCTTTGTTATTTTAAAAGTTATGGTTATTTAGTGTTCCCTTTTAGTAGTTTAGATAAAGTTACAGCCTCATAATATGTTCCACTGCTGGGCACAGGCCTCTCATTTTTGTGAAGGTTCTAGGGCAAGAAAATCCACTGTGCTGAAAATTATTGGCAAACCTTACATGTCTTCAAAATATTTTTTTTTTCTTATTTCTCAGACATGCAGTTTTCCTCACAATGTTTTCCTTCAAAGCCAAGCATGCGGTAAATCAGCACTTGAAATTGCAAATAACATTGGTGCTAGCAGGTTGAACCCAGATTGCTTGCATATTGTGAAATTTACGACGTTAAGCCCCTGAGCTACTATGGTAGTTTAGTGTTCCTTGTTAAATTAAACAAAATGGGACACTTACAGAATTATCATCCAACCATTGTTTGAATATATTAATTGCAAAATAGAAATCACAAATCATTATATTGCTTGCTACTATTGAATCCATGTGAGATATGATAGGTTTTTAAACAACTTTAAAAAAAGGAAGAGGTATTCAATATGACTGTATTTTTTGTGTTACCTCAAAACTTTTTTCTAGATGCACTAATTTTGATGATTTTTATGAATTTGAAACCCATATAAATTTGATCAAGACCGAACCAGTAGGTTTTGACATTATCAAATAGGTTATCCTTACTAATTCATATTTAATTGACTTTGACTACATTGATGATGTTCTTATTTTATTTATATTGAAGTCCATTGTACAAAATTTTTAATTTTACTACTTGTTATTTATTTAAAAGTGTTAAAATCTAAAGAGTGTAGAGAGCCAGTATTATAGTTAGTGGCATTACATCTTATTCCTCAGATGTGACAACACATCTGTAGCCATCTTTGTTCGAAGTCGTTTGCAGGTGTCCCTGGACTTTGGTAGCCACTTTCTATCAGGTGGACTGTAAGTTAAATATTTTGATTGTGTATTCCCTTCAGTATTGCAAGAAAATCTTTTGTTGCTAATATGAGTAAGTGGTAAATTAAACATTTTGTGCAACCAACTTCAATATATATAAAAAGAGAACATCATCAATGTAGTTGATATCAATTAAATATGCATTATTAAGGATAACTCAAAGCCTACTGGTCAGATCTTGCTCAAGTTTATATGGGACCACATGAGAAGCACCAGCCTTCAAATAAAAAAGAATCATCAAAATCGGCTCACCTAGAAAAAAATCTGAGTTAACACACATAAAAATAAAATAAAAATACCGTCAACTTGAGAAACTCCTTCTTTTTTGAAGTCGGTTGCACATTTATGGGTTTCATACATATTCTCAGACAAACAAAAACCCCATTTGTTTCTTAATTTAATTTTGATGAAAATTTCCATTCGATGACTTAAACACACAAGTAATTTAAATAACTTACTGACTTAGAAATTAACATATCCACAGTAAAATCAGAGTAACCGACATAGCTAATAAGCTACTGTAAGGTCAGAAGCCTTATGTTCAGCAGTGGATTTGTGAATGGCTGTAATTATACATATTATATATTTATTAATTGCAACTTTTTAATTTTATTACATCTTATGTAATTGTTTGTTACAGCCACCCAAATAGGTCAAGTTGCTGAGAGCATTGCACAGAATATTAATATCAATGTAACAACCTTAGTTGGTGGCCATACTAAACAAAAGATGCTGAATCCGCCTATTGAATACTGTGACTTACTTGTCACTACTCTTGGTGCATACAGCAAACTTGTGACAACCGGTATTCTGAAGATCCATAATGTTCACCATGTAGTTTTGGATGAGGCTGATACATTGTTAGATGACAGTTTTATTGGGAAAGTAGGCAATTTATTAAAGAAATTTTCGGTAAGTAATTATTTAAGTGGATCTGGATCTGGTCTGGTTTTAGAAGTCCATTTCAATATTTTTTTATAGAATTAGGTGACAAACGAGCACACAGTCTATCTGATGGTAAGTAGATGCTGTGGCCCATAGACATCCACATTTATCCTCAATTAAAAATCAAAATGCAAATGCATTGCTACCCGTGAGGACTGAGATGGAATGCCTTCATTCCACTAATAACGGTGTCCCATTCTCTACACTTACCGTAAGAAACACAGCAGTGTTACACTGCTATTTTATTCTAGTTTTCTGTGAGTGTGGTCCTGCCCTGATCGAGCCGACCCATTCCTGCTACAACTGTAATATAGCTGCAGCATGGCTCTACCATGTATACAATATATCACCATACTCTACAATTGTTAAAAGGATGTCAATTTATGTATATACATTTGTATGCTTATGTTTCCTTATGTTAGGGACCAGTTTTAAACAGTGATATCAACAACAAACCAATTTTATTAAACATGTAATTGTGAAGGTCCATTAAATTCATTATAGTAGTTTCTTTAAAAAGAAACGTGGACCTGTAAATAAGGCTAATAATTTCTGACTAGTATCTCTGACGAATAAGATGGAATGTCTTACAATACTAGCTATTTATTCCAACCAGAACGATTTTATTTAATGACTGTATATTTTTATTAATTGAATTTTTTTTTAGATAACGTTTTTTAGCTTACAAATACTTCAAAGTATTTAATAATAAGGTTTTGTGGTACCTAATTGTTTTAACATAATTAAAAAAACTCTTAATTTTATATTTTTACCAAACTTTTGCACTCAACTAGATCTATTTATAAAAACCAATTTCAATACTATTTACTCCATTTGCTGTGAGGTGGTGATATAAGAGAATCCGTAACTTAATGGATCCCATGGGTGTCATAACGTGACTATGGGAAATGTTAAAAAATCATATAGTTTCCTGTATAATCATCTTGTATATGTCAGACATAATAGTCAGACAATGGGCAGCTGCCTCAACAGTGCAAGATGATTGAAAATGTGATTTTCAATCCACTTCCCAAGTGTGATATTAAGGGCAAATCCTTCTTATATTGGGAAAAGTATACATCCAGCGCCACAGCCTTAGGCTAACTATGAATGAGCCCTCCCCCCCTGGCCTATTCTGTCTGTGCCTGTGAAGCTCACAAATTTATTTACTAGATTTTTATATTTTGCTATGTTTCCACCCTGCGGTTTCGACTGCATTAAATCAAATTTTCTTGATAGTAAGTGTCGACTATCGGCCATGAACAACTATAATAATTTAGGAAATTGCAGGTGAATTGCTGGCCTTTTTAAAAGGAGTAAGCTTGTTTCTGAAAGGTCTCTAAGTTGTATCACTCTGGAAAAATCGTCAGTAGTAGTTAATTCCACAGAAGTTTTGCAAAGTATAAAGCTCCTAGTAAGTCGCACAGTCATGATGTACTGCCAAGAATCCAGATGGTGTGGATGGTACCGTGAGTTTACCTATGGTGGAATTTGGCGGCCGGAATTTACTAAACAAGTTGTTTAAGTACTCCCTGTGGAAAATGCGATAGAAAATACAATAAATGGAAAGCAACATCTCTTCGCAGCGCCAGTGAATTGAGCCAATCGAAAAGAACTCGGTCGTCGGCGATTTGAGCCACTCTCTGCTGGATGTGGTCAACTGGAAGGAGCTGGCACTGGGATGTTCCGGTCTGGCGATGAGAGCAGTACTCCATGTAAGGACAAACTTGCCCATTGTAAAGTTTCAAGATGTGTGCCGGCAATAAATCTGCTGAGCACGTCGAACTTTTTAGAGTCCAATTTAGCCTTCCCTTCCAAGTGACCGCAGAACTATACGTAATTTGATATTTCGATGCCGAGTTGATGACGCCGGAATGGGGAGTGTCCTGAAATTGAGGATATACGACAAAGGGGTTCTTTTTAGCAGTAAACGCACAACCTGTGTCCTGAAGTTTAAACTGAAGTTTATTAAAGACTTGACTTCAGAAACAAGTTTGTTCTGATACTCGATGACGTGTACCCGAGAAATATTAGCGCGCCTGGTGTAAAAAGAATCACCGGTGTTACAACAGTCACAGCAACACATAATTGATATACAGAAGAAACAGTGTAGGTGGTAGATGTATCACACAGTGTAGCACAGAGGCTTGTGGAACACCTTGATCCAGACGGACCCAAATCGGATGCCAACTTATAGTTACTTAGATATACTTACATTAGTTTAAGGGGTTATAGTAAGTCAGCTCAAACTCTAATTTCGCCCCCACTTCCCCGCGCGTCGTATGCTATGTACCGACATGTTTGTAATCACTAATACTGTAAGTAGATAGGTCGTTAGATACTTATTTCATTAGGTTTATCATATTTATGGCTGTTTCTTAACGCCTAACTTTAATTTTACGTCATCCTGTTGCGTAATGTGTATTCTGATTGTAAGCGACACAAGTTCCCCCTTCAAAAGCCTAAGCGATACTAACGGGGCGACAGAAATCAAGCTTCAAGACGCCGATAGTTTCGGTAATTTCTTTTTACAGTGAAAATAATGGTATTTAAAAAAAAGTAAATAACATAAGCACTGCTTTATAGTTAGTTCAGTTAGTATGTAAAGTTTCATGGTCTTATTTAAAGTATTTTATGAATAACAGCGGTTTATTGTTCAGTTTGGAGGTAACTTTGGATTTTTTTCTACCGAGAAAATTTTACGGAATCGTGTTTTCGTCTAACATAGTCCTTAACATTAATCCTCAACTTTACCATATATTTATTTCAATATTAATGCTGCAATTCTTTCGGTATAACGAAGGGTCTTGCTAAGCCATTTGAGGTTATTATATTTCCCGTAAGAACTTAGTTATTAAGTAAGGTTAATTAAAAACTCATAATAAATAAAATAAATACATATTAAAGTACATTTACATTAGTTTAAGAACTTAGTTATTATATTAAGGTAAAAGAAGTTTTTTTCGACGGCTTAATTTTTTTGTAAAAAAGATTTTGTCCTTCTTATTATTTTTCATGTTCTGTGCAGATTCATCACAAAGTTCAGATTCAAGTGCCTCCAGTCGGATGCCAACTTACACTTGTTAGCGCTACCATGCCACATGAATTGCCAGAATCAGTCAGCTCTTTTGTGGATCCTCAGTCTTTAAGAACAGTAGCTACTTCTAACATCCACAAACTACTACCACATGTGCCACAGAAGTAAGTAAAAATATAATAAATTGTTAATAGAAGTCAATTCTATATAAGACCTATTGCTGGGTAAACAGCTAATTTTTTTAGAAATTTATTGCGCTACTGCGGTTAATATTGTTGCTTTATATTATTGATAATATTGATGATGGTGTCATTTCATCCAATAATTTGAATTTGTTACTTTCAAGTAAATAGTGTATCAAAATTTTATGGTTCTTTATTTTTAGTAGTTACATTTTTGTTATATAATCATACAAATTAATTATTTATATTTATGTTATGAGCTTAAGGTTCGTGATAATAAAAACTGGCGATTGAATTGCCAAAATTGACACCTTAATTACTGAACACCAATTAAAGCTTAAACCACACTGATAATTAATCACACTTAACATTTTATTTCGCTCCGAAAGCTTCGCTCGTATCGCCGATTCAATACTGCCCCCTGGTCGCGGCCCTCAACGGCTTTAAATAGGCCTTTTTCACCGAAACATCCAGAACATTCCAGCAAAGTCGCGTGTAGCATCGCCGAAGCACTTTGCCGGTACCTTGGGCTAAATTCTCGAGTCATGAGACATACCTAATTATATTTTAACACTTTTTTAAGATTAAAACTGACTTATCAAGAAAATATTGTCTTTTCTGTATTTTAATCGAATGTATTTTATTTAACAGATTTATCCGCCTTGGCAAAGCCCAAAAACCAGTGGAACTCCTCAAGCTAGTCCAAGCCGATGTCAACAGCAAACGTCCAGTGATGATTTTCTCTAATAAAACATCCACCTGCGACTTTGTCTCTATGTTCCTAAACGAGAATAACGTAGAATGCGTTAATATAAATGGACAGATGGCTGTCGCGTTGAAACTTGGCAAATTTGAGATGTTTAAGAATGGAACGGTTAATGTATTGTCTTGTACGGATATCGCTTCACGTGGTCTGGACACAACACGGGTATGTTCAGATTTAGAGTTTTCTAGAGTAATTTCTATATCTATAACGTGGTAGTGTCACACTGCAGCTATATTATTGCTGTAGCACGAATGGGTTGTCTCGACCCGGGTAGGACCATGCTCTCACAGAATACCAGCATAAAATAGCAACTTAGTACAGCTGTGTTTCATATGGTGAGTGTAGAGTTCCGGAGACACATTTTAACTGGAAACGAGGCATTCTATCTTAGTTTTCAGGGGTGACAACGCGTCTGTGTTTTGTATTCTTAATCGAGAATAAATGTAGATGTCTATGGGTCACAGCATTCACTTACCATCAGGTGGACTTTGTGCTAATTTGTCAAATTATTCTTTAAAAAAATACATTTAAAAACTACTTTTGATAACGCACTTAACGGGAACCACTGGGTTTTTGTCATATTGTAGCTATAGTTATTTAACGAGGAAATCCAGCCAGTGTGTTTGGCACTCAACCGCGAGAAGTTGGGCGTATAATTGGGGCAATTATTTCGATGACACTTAACACACAAAATCGCATGGCGTTTACGTACAAAAATCCACTTGAAACTGTTAATTAAATGATAAAACATCATCATCATCATTACAGCCCTTCACAAGTCCACTGCTGAACATAGGCCTCCCCCAAGGAATGGCACAAAGCACGGTCCTGAGCCACCTGCATCCATCGACTTCCTGCATGTCTTACCAGGTCGTCACTCCATCTAGTGGGGGGTCGCCGTACACTACGCCCACCAGTACGAGGCTGCCACTCGAGAACCTTTTTTCCTCATCGATTGTCGGTATTTTGAGCTAAATGGCCGGCCCATTGCCACTTCAGCTGACTAATCAGTTGGGCTATTTCGGTCACTCTGGTACTACTGCGGATATCTTCATTTATTAGTTTATCACGCGGAGAAACCCCGAGCATAGCTCTTTCCATAGCTCGCTGAGCAAACTTGAGCGTCCTCATACGGCCAGCAGTGAAGGATCATGTCTCAGATCCGTTAGTCATCACTGGCAACACGCACTGGTTGTACAATCTAGTTTTCAGGTTGTGAGGTATACCTGACGAGAAGATGTGTCGTAATTTCCCGAAAGCTGCCCAACCTAGTTGAATTCGTCGATTGACCTCTCGGTCGAAGTTGGACTTGCCTAGTCGGACTATTTGTCCCAGGTAAACGTACTCGTCAACCACTTCGAGCTTACGACATGGACATTAAATATGATCTATGTTTTGTCCATGTTCATCTTGAGACCTATCCGTTGGGTGACACTCTTGAGGTCATTGAACATAGTGCTTAGGTCCTCCAGCGATTCTGTAATAAGAACTATATCGTCGGCAAATCGAATAATACCGTATCCTTTCCAGTCCAGTAGCTTGAAAACGTCGTCCAGTGCAGCGGTGAAGAGTTTCGGGGATATAATATCACCCTGTCTTACACCTCTCTGCAATTGGATAGGTTTCGTACTCTGGTTCTGTACTCGGATAGCCATCGTAGCCCTCCTGTACAAACACTTCATCACTTCGATATACCGACAGTCAACTTGGCACCGCTGAAGGGACTGTAGCACCGCCCACATTTCGAAAGAATTAAAAGTTTTCTCGTAGTCCACATACGCCATGCAAAGTGGCAGATTGTTCTCTTTGGTCTTCTGTAGAATCTGTTAAATACATTCTCTATTTCTGTGATAGTGAACGGTATTATGTTGTCCTCGTGCAGTTCATTACACAGGTCTTTTCTGATGGCTTCGGAAATATTTCTCATTTCAGTGTGATCGTATTCATCTTTTGTGATGTCATCGGTTGGGTAGAAAGTATCAGCCAACAATTTCGCTGATTCCCCCTGGAGTTAAAACACAGCTTTGCGACGTCATTCTCAGTAGAGTGTCTTCTGGTGTTTTGGCTGATTTCCGTATGATTCTGTAAACGCCCTGCCAGATGTTTTCTTTATCTTGCCTTGCACAAAATTCCTTCCAGCTAGCTGTCATCGTTTCCGTTAGGAGGTCTTTAAATTCCGCTTTGGCTAAAACATATTCTTCTATTACTATTTGTTTCCTTCTCTGGTTTGCGTATCTGATTTTCCTTCTATTCTGAATTACATCTCTTTTCTTCCTGTTGAGTTCTTCCGTCCAGCATGGTGTCTTTTTAAGTATTTTCCTGGACAGTTTAGGGATAGTCTTTTCACAAGATTCTTTCACACATGTGGTGTATAATCTTACAAGATTCTCCAATGGATCTGATTCTATAATTCTAGAAACGGTTTCCTCGGTGATGTTGTGGTAATTTAGTTCTTGTCTTAGGGTGTGAATAAATTTGATCCAGTCTGCTTTAGATGTATTGTAAATACGTGTGGATTGTCGTAGTGTATTTTCTTTCGCTGTGCTTAAATAATTTAGGTTAAATATTAAGGCTCTGTGGTCAGACAGTGTAACGAATTCTGGGTTTACTTGCCAGTTGGAGATTTTTCGTATTCCCTGTATTTAATATGTGTATGCCTAGTTGGCCTAGCGCTTCTGCCATAGCTACTCCCCTCCTATCCTCCACATTGCAACCCCACCAGGGGCTTTTCGCATTGATGTCTCCTCCAAATATGATATGATCTTCATTTAGGATACTTGCATAGGTCGAAATTTTGCACACATCGTCTTCAATCTGTTGTCCACCTTCCAAGTAAACGTTAATTATTAAAATACTAAGGCCCTTTATTTTAAATTTACATGCTACAATGTTATCAGTAATTGTTACAGGGTTGATAAAAAATTGTATGTTTGGATCGACGACAATGACGGCCGCTTTGACTGGTCTTTGAACATCGCTAGAAATTTTCTGTATTACCTTATGTTGGCAGGTAACGTGACCTTTTGCTCCTACATAAGGCTCCTGTACCAAAAAAATGGAAATGCCCTGTGTGACAGCTGATTGCAGACATTCCTGAAATGCAGCTCGCCCTCTTCCGAGGTTTATCTGTGCTATTTTTATTCCTACGTCCTTCGTACTTGTTGACTCTTGTGGGGCAACGTCGGTGTCTTTAGCAATACGATACAGTTGCTCTTGAGATCCTGTCCCATTTCCTCCACTCTAAGCACTCAGGGCTGTAGCCAGGATGGTCGCAACTTTGGTTATTAACCTTTCTGTGTATGCAATTTATACATTTTGGTGCCTTGTTCCTGTTATTGCACTCTCTTGTGTCGTGTTCCTCAGCACAGTAACCACAGTTCACTTTTTATGCTTTACATTCCCGTGCTCAGTGAGAATAGCCTAAGCATCGATAGCACTGGACTACCGGTGATTGGTCAGTTTTGGCTTTTGGCATTTTTTTGGCATTGGCAGATTGGCTGGAATTATTTGAAATCCTATTCTCACTCTCTGATTCTGTAACCTTGCCCAGATTTGCGGGCTTACTTCCAAGATAATATTACACGTGGAGCTTGTGCGACCCTTCGTTCTTCTGATAACTTTCACCTGCTTTTCTGCTGCCGTAATATCGCTTAGAAGTGTGGTGTTCTGTTTTATTATAGCTTCTTCGATCTTACCATTTGACAAGTCGAAGACAACTCCTGTAAGACGCAAAAGTGGGTTTCTGGTGGCTGATCTGTACACTGTTGTCAGTTGTGTGCTTAAGTCGGTCTTGGAGAATATTTCTATCTCCTTCAGACTCGCAACCGATTAGAACCTTCTGGTTCTTGGCTTTCTTAAAATGGTTGATGCCAATACCTAATTCGACTACATCGATCCCATCCTTAACTTGCTTCATGATGTCATCGCTTGTATTTCTGGGGTCGATAGATTCCACTATAATCGGAAAGTTTGGCTTTGTTACCACTTCCGAAAACGTGCGTGGAAGCTTTTTACGTTGCGGCATTAGTGAGTGCTGAGTTGATTCTGTGCCTTTTTCTTCCATCATTTTAATTTGTACACTTCTTAACTCTCTCTCTTCGACCTGTGATTTATGCTTAAGATCGCTTTTAAAGCCCTCTATCGCTAGTCTGATAGGTGATGTCGAGTCAACTGCAGTATCTTTCAACTCCTTCATTTCCCTCCTCAGTTCCTCCAAGCAGGCCTGTACCGAGGGGAATGCGGAGCTCGAGACAGCCGAGGATAGGCTTCGGATCTCTAGAGATATTCTGCTTACTTCTTGTTTCAACTCAGATATTTCTGAGATTAACAAAAGTTTGGAGTTCGTGATTTCCTGTTGCAATCTCTCGGCAGCAACATTTGCATCGTCTATATGCGCTGGTATATCGGCAGGTAATTCATATCGTTCTTTATTGGTGTCTATCTTCTGTATGATGCGCCGGAGCTCTTTGAGTTCCTCTGAGAGATAATTCCATTGATCTTGGGTTGCAGTCGGTGATTTTATGAGCTCATATTGTCTCGAAGTAACTTTACCTCTTCCGAGATAATCTGCAGCTGACTTGCCAAGTTTGAGCCTAAGCTTGTTTCGTTTCTGAAATTTGTTATTTCTCTCTTCGTTGCTGAAACTGCCTCACAGAGATCGTATGAGACAATAAGTCTGGTTGATTCAGTTTCCTTGTGGAGCTTCTCTATACTCTCTTTCAATGTGGCATACTGACCTAGAGTTTCATGCATGAATCGGGCAAGTCTTTGGGTGAGCCTTTCTGATTCTCTGGAGACATTCGCCTTATGCTTACTGGATTCGAGCATGTGTAGCATGCGTGAGTCAGACAACTTAAGGATCATCTCGTACAGTGTGTGCAGACCCGCAACTACATTCTCGCGAATTTCCTTCTTTAAGTTGCCCGGCTTTTCTAAGTCTGCTTTGGCTCTTTGTAAGATTTCATTTGCGTGTCTGGGCAACTCATTCATCAGCATACGGCTGCCACCAATCGACCTTGTGGAGGCGTCGAGGGAGATGTTGGTCTCGCCACTGTCAACATAAGATTCGCCTGTTTCCTCAGCCTTAGACGTGGCTTTGAGAGTTTCTTGAGCTTCTCCTGGTTTTGCCTGCCGTATCTGCGTACGTATTCTAAGCAGGCTAGATCCAGTTCTCGAGAGAACTGGAGATGACGTTGCGTCACCGAGTTTTGGCGACGTAAAGAAGCTTGAGGCTGGCTCTATTTCAGGCTTCTCGTGCTGATCCCCCGTTTGAGATTCCGTATGTTGCTTCCCTGTGCCGCCTCCAGAGATTTCCAGTGGTGGTGCACTCGGGTGATGATGAGCTGACTCCTCCTCAGGGTCATTGATTAATGGTACCCGGCTTGTCTCTTTTGCACTTTTTGCTGTACATGTTGGTTTTTTTTTTGGTGCTGTGTACCTTTCAGAACCACTGGACGCGCATTTCTTTGATTTATCTGACATTTTTTTTCCTCTTTCCTTATCTTTTTCCCTCTAAAGAGATAGGTCTCTAATAGACAAAAAAACAAGCCCAAGAACGGCTATCCTATTTTAAGGGGTTTAGAAGTTACAGCTCTCCAAATATTTTCAAACCGCTGCCGAAATGTGATTTAAAGACCCAACAGTGCTTGCCAGACTCGTTTTTCTCTGATCTATGTAATGAGTATGGTTTCGCGAGAAAAATGTTGCTTTTTGTTTTTTTTCAATATTTTTTTTTTGGCTTTGAGTGAGTAGCCCTCAGAACGACAATTCTAACGAACCCATACACTGGTATATTAGTGCCAGTGGTTTCAAAGTAATAATGGTTTAAAAATTTTCAATATGGCGTCGATAAATACTGAAATTTTCTATCTCGGAAACCACTGATGCCAGACCCACCGAGATTGGGCTCGTTTAAAAGGTCTTTTCTCCCCCTACACTTTGACAGTTATAGGAGGTTATATATGACAATTTTTTGACATAAGAGGTTTTTCATCAATGAAAAGCGCAAGGGTGAACCGATCCAAACAATTGAGGTGTCGTCTGAAAGGCCGTTGTACAATGCATCTAGGTACACTCTGTAAATCAGCCGGACGTGTTTATTTCTCAAACCACTTGCCACGTGGTTTTTGAGAAAAACGCTATAATTCCTTGATTTTTCACTGTTTTTGAGGTTATTTGCAGTTTTCCGACAAAATCCACTCAGGCAAAATCCTGTACTTGCGAACACTATGCACAGATCAGAGCTTACACTTTTCCGCGCACCCTGGTGTATAACACAGCACAGTAGCACAAATTAAACCCACTTTTCCTAATTTTTGAAAACGGAGCTCAATAAAAATGATGCATTCGACACGGCAGACGGCACGGCACTTACCTTTCGGTACTACGACGTGCTCACCACTTGTATTTCTTTTTAATATTATTTACATTTTAAGGACAATAGGCACCAGTACGCAGCGCGCGTCGCAGATTGTCCGATCTTGATGTATTGGTACTCGTGTGCTTCACGTAATTTTAGTGTAACATTACGTCTGCATTTTTGATGACCGTGTGTTTACCTAATTTAAATGAGAAAATGTTATCTACTGTAATTTTTTTTGATGCTACAAAAGCTGAAGTTTGCGTTCGATACGAAACTTAATATAATTTACTTCACATCAGGTGAACTTACAGTTAAAAACACAGTATAAAATAATAAGTGCGCCTCCGGGTGTACCGACACCTATCTTAGCGAACAGACTATACCATAAATGGAATAAAGGTTTTTTTTCGCGGCCATAACACATGGTATTTGTCAAGCATCGATCAGATCATATTTTAAAAAAAATCTAACGTTAAGCTCCGAATATTAAAGAGTATATTTGTTTTTCAGACTCGTCACATAATAAACTACGACTTCCCGCTGTACACTGCTGACTATATACACCGTTGCGGTAGAACCGGCCGTATCGGTTCAGCACAAGACTGCGCCGTCACCAATTTCGTGGCATGGCCGCGGGAGATACAGCTGGTGCAGAAGATAGAGACATCTGTTAGAAGAAATGTGGACTTACCAAATGTTAATGCCAACATTCGGAGACAGATTGAAGATAGGATCGCTAGGATGACCGCAGCAGGCATATAATAACGTCAAATAAATGTTGCGAGGATTTTATTTAGCTGTAAAAATACGTAGTTTTACTAATTTGTTATTAAAGTAATAATACTGGATTTATTTTTATTTATATATCAGTAGTGATTAATACAGCAATGAACCTCATTAAGGCTTCCGTCTAGCTTTACTCTTTTACTTTCCCAGCTATTAGAGAGGGCGCTCTTCCCCTTGCATAAATACGTTCGAGATCACAGGTGAAGGTTGCTCTACTTCATTAAATATATAACTTATTAAATTTTTTTTCATAAATATTCCTTTTACTTTTGTCGTGGTAGTATAATTTTTTATCTTCTTATATTTCACAAATGTCGTTTTTAGTAATGTTTATACGGGTTGTAGGTTTAAAAAGGGTATATACAACCGAAGGAAAATAAAAACTGCCTCTTCATACAAATTTCGCCTCTACCTTGTACATTTTGTATGAAGAATCAGTCAATTTTTTTCTATTTTCGAATTTTTTTGTATTAAATGTGGTTCAGCTCTATGATTCCAGCTCATCTCTTCGTATCGGATGTATTATAATTTTTTTTACACAATCTGTACATACAAATAACGCTGGTACCTGTTTTTTTTTTAAAAAAAAGAGAGAAATCGTATAGGGAAGTAATTTAGAAGGCAGTTGATAAAAAAAATCAAACAAAAAATAACTGAATACACATATACTTATTTATTTAGTTTGTTACATCATTAAAAGTCAGGAAATTTTTTCGAGTGGTGTAATATTGTGTAGGGGTTAATTTTTTTTTGGGATTTTTTGTTTTTTATTTTCTATTGCTTATATTATATACGGTGGGTCTTTTATCGGCATAGAACATTCAAGGTGCGAATAAATTAATTCTGTTAGCACACAACTGTGATAAAACTTTGTCAAACGAAGTTGAGTGAAGAGTTTTGGGAAACAACAATGCTGCCCATTGTTGTTTCCCAAAACTCTTCACTCATCACTTCAACTCTTGCGTTACATTTCTTTTTACTGACACAAGGATATTTGTTCTTTTTTCTATCCATCTTTTTCAGTTTTTTTTTGGTAATAAATTGTAATTCATCATATATAAAAGTCCAAGTCAATTAATCTAATACACTAAAAACTAGAAATAATATGACAATTAAATAAAAATTCCGTGCGAGCGAGAGGTAAAGTAACGTTCAGCAACACTGCACACAGCTGAACGACGAGAAATCCCAGCGGAACTGAGAGAATTTTCAGGCGTTTCTGGTTTATAAATGGCATATAGGTAAAAAGTACGAAAATATATATTTTATGAATTTTATTTATTTCTAATTCACTTGAAAATAGTTCTATTTTATGAGGTTTTAAGTACGACTTTGCTACATTTATACTTCTAATAGAAAAAAAAAATAGATATTTGCAGTAAAAAAAAAATCATGAAATTACAACTTTTTAATCCCTTCAAATAAGAAAATTAAAGCATTTATAAAAATATGACCATATCAGATTATTGTAGACAGTATGTAAATAAATGTGATCTGAATACTTTTCTTGATATTGTTATAGTTTGTACATAGCAGAGGCTTTAATAAGACCTTTTACGCATGTAACCTAAACATAGGCATGTTTAACGCTTAATAGAGCTATTATTTAAACACCAAAATAAAATTAAAAAACAATTTCGAAAATTTGAAACCCTACACTTTAAATAAATGTAAAATATGTTTCACTTTTCATTTTTAAAGACTATAAAAACATATTTGTAAATTTTGCGAGAACACTAATTTTTGCAAGACTGGGCCCTTAACCCGCAACCTAGTAGAAGGGCTTTAAAACCAGTTGTATAGCAGCGGGGAGGGGGCAGTGGGCGAAACAGACAGACCTACTTTAACTTTTTTAATTTTACCCTTGAAATTTCTGAATATAGATAATATATAATCTATGCATAATATATGCTAACATGCTCACACATGCCAAGGTAAGTATTGTTACGAGCATAGGGTTCGTGACTATAAAAACTGCTGATTGAATTGCCAAAATTTACACTTTTATTACGAACACCAATTAAAACTTAAAAAACACTAATAATTAATCACACTGATTCACTTTATTTCGCTCCGAAGCTTCGGTTGTCTCGCTAAATTCAATACTGCCCCGATCACGTATTGCAGCGCCTTTAAATACACCTTTTTCACCGAAACATCCAGAATATTCCCATAGATACGGGCGCCGACCGATCAGACGCAGAAAGTTCGAGATGTGAGGCTTCTAGAAAGCTTAGTTCTTCAATTGGATACTAGACGGCGTTGTTGGTTAAAAGATTAGTCACGACATTTTCTGGCAAGCTCGCTCTGTTACCCGACACTAGATGGCGCTAGTGCCAGACGACGACTTAGGCGCGCAACAGTATTATATTATATTCTTTATAACACATATTCTTTAGTCCTTATACATTGTATTATAGTTTTCTTCATTTAGAGATACGTTTTGACGTAAATACTAAATGTCTCCGCAAAGTATTGGATGCAGCACGAATCGGCTGGCTCAAGCCTTGCTAACACAGAATACCAGCATAATGCTGCTGTGTTTCGTATGGTGAGCGATAAGAAACTGAGTCACTTTTCGCTGGTTACCAAGCATTCCATCTTAGTCCTCAAGGGGTCCCAACGCATCGCGATCGCATCGCATACAAATAAATTTTGATTCTTTATAAGGTGTATAGTAGTAGGTGTATATGGGCTATATCCACTAATTTTAGGGTGGACTGTGCGCTCGTTTGTCACCCGTACCTCCATAAAAATGTGAAATATTAACCTTTTTTTTACTAGTACGCGTAGAGAGAGTGTTTAACTATTACGTGGTGGAGCCGCACTGCAGCTATGTTATAGTTGTAGCATGAACGGATCAGTTCGACCGGTCCAAGACCACGCTCTCACAGAATACCAGTGTAAAATAGCAGCGTATAATTCTCTTGTGTTCTTTAACTTTTTTTATTGGAATCGAGGCATTCCATCTTAGTCTTAAGGGGTGACATCGCATTTGCATTTTGATCCTTAATTGAAGATGAATGTGGATATCTATGGGCTACAACATCCACTTACCAGGTGGACTATGTTGTTCGTTTGTCACCTAATGCTATTGAAAAAACTAATTTAAAGGCACCCATAACAACCGTATGTATAGTTAAATTAGAAGTTAACTATACATAAATAAATCCGGTAACTTAGTTTTATGCAAATAATTCATTCTTCTTTACCACTGTAACAGTCTACTGCCGGTCGTGGGCCACTTCTCAGGTAGTTTTGTCATAAATTGAAGCGAAGTGCGCTTGGCTATCGTACGAACGTCTACGACTGCCACCTTTGACCCTGCTTCTGCTTCGTTGTAATGAGTTTTTGCGTCTAGCGTAAACGGGATAATTATTTCATTTCGCCTACTATCGGAAGCCGCAAAATCCTACTGGTTTATCCCATAGCCATCTCTTACGAGTTTACGGCACCCGTGGATCGAAATTGGGCAATGGATGTTCTTAATCCAAATACGGTATAAAATGATTTATTAGATCTGATTTGGTACACAGAGGGCTCGAGTATTAAAAAAAACTTAAGCGTATTCTATAAATTTAATCACAAATATACACACTTGACAATCTATTTTTATCGTTAATTTTTTTTAAATAAATTATGCACACTAATTACATACCAACCTTACCTCTAAAGACAAACACAATGTTAACATTGCCTAAAAATACTTTAAAAGAAAATATTTCTTTATCACTGCTAATACACATCTATATTAATTTAAATAGAATATTATTGCTTTAAAATACTTGACGTTCGTATATACCTCATTTTGATATGGTTTTTTCACCATGTAATACTACTCTTACTTTCTATTAAAATATCTATATATTTATAGCTATGGTACTTAGGCGTTAAATAAAAAAAATAATGGTTGAAACAAAGAACTCAAAGGAACGAGAAGGGTAATTCGGAATCACTCACGGACTTCATTTTTATGTAGGTCTCCTTCTAGGATGTTAGATGGCGGTTTTTTGGTATACAATAGATGTAATTGATCTTTGCTCTTTGGAATACGTACGTATACATAAAGAATTACCTGTACAGAGCTGCACCTATTTACTTTTTAACGCTTTAATAATTTGAACTTCTCAGAAGGAACATTCTGCTGTAATGAGTAGGTACAAGTTTCAAAGTCAAAACCATGAAGGTTAGAGAACAGGAGAACGATCACTACGTACTAAAGCATAGCCCGCCTGTCCTTGAAAATTGTAGAATATATAGCGGCGCTGACGTCGGTGACTAGTGACTGCGAAGTTAGCTGTTTATGAGTACAAGTAGATGAAGTTAGTTGAATAATCTACAAATTTTCATTTAATTTTTCATGAGAAAATTTTCATGCTCCGTATTTTTTAATCGTATTTTTTAATGTTTCTTTTTGTCAAAAATTTTGTAATTTTTGACAAAAAGAAACATTAAAAAATGGAAAAATATTTTATTGTGCGTAGATGTACAAGTGGTTTAGCATCTGATCGGAAAAACAGACTGAAAATGACTTTTATTGACCGAACTTAGTGATCGCAGCGCCTCACTTATGGTGTCCATATTTCTGGGACACTATTTTCTACGGCGATCGTTCTGCTGTTCTCTAACCTTCATGGTCAAAACATTGACACACATTCACGTTTCAAAGTGTCTTAGGCCCGCCACACACTACATACGGCATTCCGTTTTCCCCCCAAAATTTCGAACGGAAAACTATCGTGGGTGTGTGACGGGTCCTTGATTTTATACGGACTTACTGCGTTTAGAATGTGGCGTATGTATGTGGCGGGTCTAAGAGTCGAACGCTATGGTATCATCTATTTCTATTTTTGATACCTCCTAGTGCCTATCATTTTCCAACTGCGATATTTGTAGTGTGAACCTCCTAGGTCGCACTCATTTCTTTAATTTATATGATTATTTTAATAGATTTGAATTGGTTGAAGTTGATATTAGACATTTCATTTTTATTGAATAATTTCTAATGATAGTTTATTCGTATTGGCCGATGAAGGGTTTAAATGTAAAGTTTGTTTTCTTCATCGTTCATTTCATTCATTAAAATAAATACTAAGTCTGAAAAATAATTGCTTAACCACAATAATATAGTCTATACAGATCAAAAAGATGTCCACAGCCTTCTAAATGCCTAAAATCGGTGGTTTCATCATCATCATTCCACTGCTGAACATAGGCCTCCCCCAAGGTATGCCGCATAATCGGTTGTAATAAGTATATGAATTTAAGAATTTTTTTTTAAAGATTTAGGTTTGAAATTGATTTTTAAACTATGGTTTACATTGTAGCTGAAATATAGTTCTTATAAAATGGTACGTTTTTGATTAATTTTGGTTATATTTTTGTAAATTGTAAAATAAATCTACAAAATCATTTTATCTACATAATACATATTCAAGAGCCGGGTCAAATGCTAAGCTTTGTGAGTCCAAGCGGGAATTTAGTCATTTCAATCACCATTTAGTACCTACGGTCAGGGACTAATGCAGTATGAATTCTCAGATAGGCATATTTTTCTTCAAATAATAAAAAAAATATGAAAAGAAAAAAAATGTTAAGATTATTCTGCTCACCTTACTTTCAAAATGTCATCGAAATTGATGTGTGTGTGACAAGGTTCCTTCGTATTAGCACTTGGTCTGGCTCATATTTATACAGGGTGTTAGTGTAAACACCGTTATCCTTGAAACCAGTGGTTTGTTTTCACTTATAGAACGTATATTCAATGAAAATAACAAATTTTTTTTAGTATTATCTCAATTTTTCCTTAATTCCTCAATTTTTGCCTGTCCTAAGCCAGGAAGGTATGAAGGAAAAGTTACATCACAGGTTTGTTATTTATTGTGTTTGTATATTGTGTATTGTTTGAGTATTGTTGTTTATTGTGTTTTTATTGGAATCTTGTGTAGGTAGCTAGCCCGGGCGGTGATCTATACAGTGATTACGTTACTCGGGGGCATAGGGTATCCATGAATTTACGGACGGTGTCGGACAGAATTTTTTTAAATTTTATGATAGACAATAGCGATTTTTTTAAATTCATTGAATTTACGTTCTATAAGTGAAACCAAACCACTGGTTTCAAGGATAACGGTGTTTACACTAACACCCCGTATAAGCAAATCACTTTTAATAATTTCTAGGCCATACACATTTAGAAGTGTCGAGTTAATATTCTCACACATAGTAAAACAGGAAAGTCATAAAATAGTTTTCATACTCTACATTTTAATGCTATTTGGCGTATTGATTACAAATGTGGCACAAATATCGAATCTCGATAATTACCTAAATATCTAAGCACCAGAAGGACCTGGTCGTGAATCCTCTGTGGATTTCCATCTGCTTTCTAAAGTCGTCTTACTGTTGGACTCCTGGTTGCAAACGTTCTGATGACTGTACCGTCGGTGTTCGGCGAATATACCTTCAGAGATATGAAAGACGCAGTCAGCACTTGTTTTCCGTCTGCCATCTAGCGTTGTCAAGCTACTCGCGGCTGGGGATATCCTGTGAGGAAATCGTGGCGATCCCTTTATCCTTTCACAGGAATTCTGATGTGACATTGACGTTTTATGCGTGTTCGGTAACACGAAGTTGACCTTGGTCTCCGGCTCAGCTACGTATTTCTGCGTGCCAGAGGAGACACTCCTTTCGGAAGAATATCTTGAGCACGAAGGCTCGTCGTCTATTATTCGAATGATGGGACCGCTCTTTGCGTATGATTCCCTGCGTAACTTCAACTCTGGCTGTGGCACGTTCAATGTATTACAAGATAAAACCATCGAATGCTTCCTATTCCCTGGCACGAGTCCAGCGATCATCCCAACGTGCATCCTCAAAGCGGCAGCAATGCTCTGACCAGTTGGATCGGCTATGGACATAGTCGACGCTTTTCTACTGGACGGTCTACTGCCGAAAAAGCTCTTCAATCTGCTGAGGAAGCCTTGGTTTTCCTCTCGTTTGTTCAGACAGAGACTGTATAAATCTATTGCTGGTTGGGATTTCCTATAGTTAAGCTTCGGCTGGGAGCTAAAGCTGACAGAGTTTCTGCCTCGGTATGCTTCTGCGGAAGGCCAGCTTGCTCGAGGAATGACTGGAGGTAATACAGATAGTAGCAGCATGGGCAGACCTCCACTAATACTTGGTGTTCTTTTGTCAAGGTTATCTGGACGATTGCTTTCTTCATCTACTGTGTTTAATTCCGTCTGAAAATGTGAAAAGACTATTTTTTATAGCATAAGGGTGAAAAACGAGCACACAGTCCACCTGATGGTAGGTGGATGCTGTGGCCCATAGACATCTACATTTATCCTCGATTAAGAATCAAAACGCAAATGCGTTGTCGCCCCTGAGAACTCCCCGGGTCTTCATCTCTACATTCATCATACGAAATACACTGTAATAAGCTGCTAATCCTAAAAAAAGCGTGGTCCTTCCCCGGTTGAGCCGACCCATTCGTGCTACAGCCATAATAATATAGCTACAGCATGGCTCTACCACGTATATAAAATTAAGATGACGTCTTAAGACTAGTTATTTTTTTGATGATTTGGTAGTGTAGTGGCTAAGGGTTTGTTTGCGGCGCTGTAGAGCCGCCGGTTTGTGTCTCGCACAGAACAAATGTTAGTATGGGATATAAATATATTCGGGAATGGTTTTACTTTTTTCGGCTCTATCGACTCCAGGTAGCGGCAACTCATATTACAACATTGTAATAATATATGAAAAATAACGATTCGACACAAATTTTCACACATTGTATTGTATGAATAGTGATTTATCTCTCCAATCAGACATCTCTATTGTCCTGTATTGGCGGCGCAAGAGAATTCACTAACCCATATCATCCCGTGGTTGTCGTAAGAGGCAGCGTAGGAAAATTGATGAAACAGGACGTGAGCAGCAGCATCTTCGTGATAACACCTTAATAAAAAAAACAACTGCGGTTGCCGATCCATTTGCCAAGCGTGGCAAATATAGCATACATATAATAAATAAAAAAATATAATAAACCACATGAGGCTATAGGAAAGGCCTAAGTTCATCAGTGGACTTTGTTAAGGTGTAATGACATGTATTAGTTCGATATGTCGAGCGTATATTGCATCTCTGTTTTACTGGTCAATATAGAAGCGGCCTAACCTAACGTATTTTTTTAAAATAAAGTTAGGGTGGACTATACAAAGGAGTACATAGTTCATCTGATGGTTAGAGACTGCTGTGGACTAAGATGTAATTTCTTGTTATTTCACGCTGGTATTCTGTGAGAGCGTTGTCCTTTCCCGGTCGAGCCGACCCATTCATGCTACAACCGTAATATAACTGCAGCATGGCTCTATCACATATAAATATATGCGTCTCACTGCTGGGCATAGGTCTCTTCTTGTCTGCGAGGATTTTGCAAATAATGCGCCGCGCTCTTCTAGCGCGTTTTGCCGTATTCACATTTATCGATATATTATATTCTTCAGAGATGCCGCCGCATGCAGTAGTACATAAGAGCATTATTTTTAAGTTACTCGCATATAAACTCTGAACTATCACAGCTAATTATTATGATAAAGGAAAAATAATTAGACATACCCGTTTTTGGAGTACAATAGAAGCATTAGAACTGCTAATTGATTCCAAGGGCTCCGCTAGCAGTTTCTCCAGCCTGCCAATTTCCTTGTCGAGTGCGGCTACTTCCCTCTTGTACACTTTGTTCTGAATTTCGATCCTGAACTGCAACTCTCGGGTTTCGTCGGTGATGAACCTTCTAGTTTTACATTCTAGCCTCAGTCCCATACTTTGTATTACCGGATCATCTTCAGCTAAAATACATACTCTATAAATATAGATTTCATTTTGTGTATTTTGAATGTGTTAATTACTGTAACCGTTACAGCGTATTAAAGTCCACTGCCGAACTTAGGCCTGCCCCGTAGATTGCCTCTTAGGGAGAATTTTTGCCACAGTTGCCACGGTAAGCGAGTTGGCAATCGCAGTTTTTTTTTTTTAATTTTTAGTTGTTATTGGGATGACGATTCGGTTCGGTAAAACTTTTACCGAACCGAATATTCGACCGAATGTTATTCGGCTGGATCACCTCGGTACCTAACCAATTTATGTCAAAGCTTGTTGCCGTAAAGCGCGCGGGATTATTGACGGAACCTGCCCCTCGATCCCCGCCACACCTGACATGCTAATACATTATCTAGTGCTTTGTAAATTTCCGGCACATGCTTATGTTTTGACTATTTTGGTGAGAAGAAAAGTATTTCGTTGTGTTATTCTTAGTGAAAATTGATAATTATATGATAAAAATGAGTGGCAGGTGACCTACTATTTGGAGTTATTTTAGAGAACCTACTATACAGAGTTCAAAATATGACGAAAATTGTGAAAAAACAATAAAAGTAATTACGCCTTAAGTTGAAAGGCAAGCTATGAAGATTTCTTAAATTTACATAAATACTAAATAAAACTAATTTTACAGATTTATATGGCGTTTAATTTTAACCTTTTTCATTCACGTCGTTTCGGACTCTTTATGGGAGGAGGAGGAGGGGGGGGGGCTGAGGTGTTTGATTTCCTGATGTCGTAGAAATTATTAGTTTATTTGTGGATTAAATTATGCGCAATAAAATACGTATATTTGATTTATTCTAAGGTAAGCTTTAATATACTTACATTTGTTTCTAATTGCAATAATTTTCGGCAGAAACAACAGGCATAGTGTTGACGTAGTCGTTGTCAATATTAAACTGGTTATAGTGATGTACGCGAGGGTCGCCCTCTCCGATATTATAGTTCCGATAACGACTACACTAGTGCTGGTTATGACAACCGAGTAAACACTGATGCCGATGTACTTGGAGTCGTTGAGAGCGGAGATCTTCACGTTTCTGGTCTCCCAGGCCATGTAAACGCCTACGATGAGCAGCAGACCTTTGTATGCGTACAGCGCGCATAGCCAACCCGTTGTGTTTTGGGACTTGCAAACTTCTATCTGAAAGAGATCGTTTGATAAGAGTAATTGTTTAGGCCTGATAGTAGGTCGTCTTATCGAGCGGGGTGAAGCGACGACTACCAGAGGTGCGGGAGGGGGAGGCTACCTGCATACTGAGTGCAGGGCGTGGAGTAGCCCGTTGGTATTGAGGCGTGACGGACGGGGCCGCGCGCTTCAGCGCGCGGCGCACGCGCGGCGTTACCCTGTTCGGCTCTGAAGATTAATATAATTGTGCTTCGAAGGGACGATCTTGAGTTATCTTATATTTGTTAGTGAATTGATAACTAGGCTTAACTCTTTATTGTATTGGGAGAAACCGTCAATTGAATCGACGCGGTGTGAGCTCGTTCGACGTCGGTCTGTATCATTGAACTTTGACCCACCGTCCTTGAGTTGCCGCGTGTCCATAATTAACTTCGATGGACTTGATGGTTAGAATCTAAAGACGATTGGACAATAATTGATGGGTGTTGGAAGAAAGTGGTTTCTGAGAAGATGGGATGCTGTGGATACCGGCCCCTAAGACGGATCCTATATTTGAAGAGGAGATGCCCTCGGATCTGCTGTTCTGCAGCCAGCGGGGATATCAGGTTACACAAGTGAACACGAACATCACAACACAATCCAGCACGCACACACTTACACCTGAATCTTCCTAGGGTTGACCCTACTTCGAAGAAATAGGTAAGTTTTGTTTGGTTCCCTTTTTTACCGCTAACTTGTAATATTCCACAAGCCATTTAGGCCGACCTCCTGTTACTCGTCGAGTGGAGCCCCTGATGGGCCCGGGTTCCACGAACCTTTGCCCGGGTAACTAGAGGCCGTAACATTTGGTAGCAGTGCGTGGTTTTTCTGATGGGTTTTGAAACCACTCCCAGCTCAATACGTAACATTTTGGTAGGAGTAGCGTAGTCTCCCAGCGCAATACGTAAGTTGGTAGCAAGATAGCGGTTGTAACCACGTGGCTGCTGGTTGTGTTTGTTGCAATACGTATTAATAATTTTATTTTGTTCGCGTGTTATTTGTGAGCGGATAGGATCGGTGTATAGAACCACGTAATAAAAATAATTCTTGTATCTTTTCTTTGGTCGCTTACTTTGTTAGTGGTAGGTAGAATTTGTGCCACGCCCGTGGCCGGGCGTAAGCGGAGTGTTTAGGTACTTACCTTAGGTTTAGGTACACGCGTCGAGTAGGGTTTATAATTACCGTTGCTACATAAGCGTGGCAATTGCAATTCGGTGAATTATTGCATTATCGTTATTGTTCGTGTGTATTTGGTATTGCATTTGGACTGTCGGCTAAATTATTAGCGTAATAATTATTAATTAGCGTTGTCTCGTAAACCGACTGTAGTTATTACTCGTGGAGTAGTAATTTGTTTGTTTAATTGATTTGATTCGATAGTTGGGTGCCTTCGCTGGCGTCTCGTTGCCCGACTGTAGTTAGGACTCGCGGGTGGTAATTGTGTTCGATGTAGTTAACGTAAGTGTATCTAACTTTGAATAAAGAAATAAATAAAAGTAGTAAAGATCGCACAACGGTTTCCTATAGGCGGCACGCGGCAAGCGTGCCCATAATTAACTTCGATGGACTTGATGGTTAGAATCTAAAGACGATTGGACAATAATTGATGGGTGTTGGAAGAAAATGGTTTCTGAGAAGATGGGATGCTGTGGATACCGGCCCCTAAGACGGATCCTATATTTGAAGAGGAGATGCCCTCGGATCTGCTGTTCTGCAACCAGCGGGGATATCAGGTTACACAAGTGAACACGAACATCACAACACAATCCAGCACGCACACACTTACACCTGAATCTTCCTAGGGTTGACCCTACTTCGAAGAAATAGGTAAGTTTTGTTTGGTTCCCTTTTTTACCGCTAACTTGTAATATTCCACAAGCCATTTAGGCCGACCTCCTGTTACTCGTCGAGTGGAGCCCCTGATGGGCCCGGGTTCCACGAACCTTTGCCCGGGTAACTAGAGGCCGTAACATTTGGTAGCAGTGCGTGGTTTTTCTGATGGGTTTTGAAACCACTCCCAGCTCAATACGTAACATTTTGGTAGGAGTAGCGTAGTCTCCCAGCGCAATACGTAAGTTGGTAGCAAGATAGCGGTTGTAACCACGTGGCTGCTGGTTGTGTTTGTTGCAATACGTATTAATAATTTTATTTTGTTCGCGTGTTATTTGTGAGCGGATAGGATCGGTGTATAGAACCACGTAATAAAAATAATTCTTGTATCTTTTCTTTGGTCGCTTACTTTGTTAGTGGTAGGTAGAATTTGTGCCACGCCCGTGGCCGGGCGTAAGCGGAGTGTTTAGGTACTTACCTTAGGTTTAGGTACACGCGTCGAGTAGGGTTTATAATTACCGTTGCTACATAAGCGTGGCAATTGCAATTCGGTGAATTATTGCATTATCGTTATTGTTCGTGTGTATTTGGTATTGCATTTGGACTGTCGGCTAAATTATTAGCGTAATAATTATTAATTAGCGTTGTCTCGTAAACCGACTGTAGTTATTACTCGTGGAGTAGTAATTTGTTTGTTTAATTGATTTGATTCGATAGTTGGGTGCCTTCGCTGGCGTCTCGTTGCCCGACTGTAGTTAGGACTCGCGGGTGGTAATTGTGTTCGATGTAGTTAACGTAAGTGTATCTAACTTTGAATAAAGAAATAAATAAAAGTAGTAAAGATCGCACAACGGTTTCCTATAGGCGGGATACTTTGTTGATAGGTTTTGATTATTTTGTTAGCTGTTTTTGAGAGAATTGTAACTTGTTATTTGTTTTAAATGATTATTGATATTGAGTTTTTTGTCCCTTCAGTGTGGAATGTCGATTATGTTAGGTATACTAAATATATAAATTTGTATTTTTTTTTTTAAGCTTCCTTTAATGAAACAAATGAGTCGAACACGTTAAATGAAGCAATGGAGAATTTTTGAAAGGTTTAATTACGTAATGTAAATAAAGTAGGTTGCACCATGACGTATTGGTGTGCAGTTTATTGAAAGAGATTACGGTCTAAAGGAACCACTCCGTTATTGAGTGCCTCGCGTTCAGATCGATTTATACGATGTCATGAATTTCCACTTCAGGTTCACTATTGTATTTAATGAGGTTGCGGTGAACATAATATATCCACAGCGTTTCGGTGTTTGCGTTAATTTGATTGTGTTAATTAGATTAATTTTGTAGTGTATTTGTTTTGATTTCATAAATAGTAATTTGCATTTGTAGTAATTTGTATTGAGTTCAAGTCGATGGTATGATGATATATAATGTGATGATATATCATGATGATGATATTTGATGGACTCAATTCAACTGTATTGGCATGTAGTTTCTATTTTGTAGTTTTATTAACAGTGATGTCATTGCACGGCCAGGGCGGTCAGCTAGCCGTGTCGTGCCTGGGTGCGACCGGCGCTTTTCTCGGGGCTCTGCCGGGCTCCCGACTTTCACGGGCGGGGGGGACGTTTAGTCACGTCCCCTGTCGGGCGATCTCGGCGCTCTCTTGTGGGCTACTGTGCCCCGCTTCTAGTGCCGGTCTGATGTAGGCAGCTCCAACTGGGTGGCTGCCGCCCTGGCTCCTACCACGGCCGCCCCCATTGATCTTTGAGTCGTCAGCCCACTTGTTGAACGCTTCTATTGTCGACGGTCTCAGGGAAGGTGTACCACCCGAGTTGCGATGTTGTCATGGTTCGCGCTTTATTGTATTCGGGCTCAAACGCGGTGTAGCCTCCAATTGGTTAGGTGGGAGACTAGGGCTCATTTGGAGCTTTGAATGTTTAAAAAAAAAAAAAAAATTTTTTTTTGCTTGGTTTACGCGAAATGTTATGTTCACTGTAGCGATATTGTTCTTTGTAGTTTGTTAGTTGTAGCGGTTAATTTTCGCAGTAATTATTTCGCTAAAATGTTGCGTAATTAGCGGTTAATTTTTCTTTGTTTATTTTTCTGCGAAATGTTTCATAGTGTGTTAGCGGTTGTAGGTACAAAGGTAATTTGAAATGCCTTTGGGATGACTGTACCTATGTTTTGTGGCTATATGGATCATTATGTTGTTGTAGAATTGAAAATTGCAATTGAGTAACTATTTGTGCGAAGGAAATGAGTATTAACCATACTTTGTTATCACATTTTGTTGGCATTATCGGAGATATTTGTGTTGGAAAATTTGGTTTGCCCTTGTGTTTTTTTTGTTTTATTTTGCTTGTGTTTATCATTGTGCTTGGTCGCTGATAACTCACCATCATCGTCGGAATGCGGTTAATTTGCAGCGGGAGTTTTGGAATTTGTCTGACCGACGCACTATTTGGAGCGTCACTCCTGTGAACATACTTTGTGGTGGATTGAGGGCCACCTATACCGCAGCCGATGATGAGTGACTTACCATCCGACCACGTCGGGTTCATCCGACCATCCACTGGAGTCGGAACCGACTTTGCTAGCCCCCCTCCTCGTCAAGCCCTCCGACCTGCGCCACGCGCGTTCACATCGGGCCTATCTGTGGTTTTCGTATGCCTCGCCACTAGGGCCGTTCGCTTGAAACGTGCCGGTGCCCTCAGCACTGAAGTTCTGTGGCTACGCTGGGTCGCTTCTTATCGCGTTGCGGTTGCCGGACCGGATCCAGCCGGACTGCGGAACGGATTGTAGGGGCACTGGTAGATATTTGAAGAAAGTCGTCGAATTTCTGTCCTGCAACAGGACTTATGGGTTGGCTGCGATGTCCGAGAAGGGCATCCAGGGGAAATTCAACTCTTCGGTTTGCCCACTCTGAGGCCGTGATGTGAGCCGGTGGTTGGCGTTGCAAGAGCGCATCTCCATCTTGTTAGTGGCCGAGGTTTTGGTTGGAGATTCGGTCTTGCATCGTGGCATCGAGACCCTCTCCCGGTCGCCAATTTACTCGCGGACATAGGTCGTTATGTCCGGGACGGGGGCTTGTTTAGGCCTGATAGTAGGTCGTCTTATCGAGCGGGGTGAAGCGACGACTACCAGAGGTGCGGGAGGGGGGAGGCTACCTGCATACTGAGTGCAGGGCGTGGAGTAGCCCGTTGGTATTGAGGCGTGACGGACGGGGCCGCGCGCTTCAGCGCGCGGCGCACGCGCGGCGTTATCCTGTTCGGCTCTGAAGATTAATATAATTGTGCTTCGAAGGGACGATCTTGAGTTATCTTATATTTGTTAGTGAATTGATAACTAGGCTTAACTCTTTATTGTATTGGGAGAAACCGTCAATTGAATCGACGCGGTGTGAGCTCGTTCGACGTCGGTCTGTATCATTGAACTTTGACCCACCGTCCTTGAGTTGCCGCGTGTCCATAATTAACTTCGATGGACTTGATGGTTAGAATCTAAAGACGATTGGACAATAATTGATGGGTGTTGGAAGAAAGTGGTTTCTGAGAAGATGGGATGCTGTGGATACCGGCCCCTAAGACGGATCCTATATTTGAAGAGGAGATGCCCTCGGATCTGCTGTTCTGCAGCCAGCGGGGATATCAGGTTACACAAGTGAACACGAACATCACAACACAATCCAGCACGCACACACTTACACCTGAATCTTCCTAGGGTTGACCCTACTTCGAAGAAATAGGTAAGTTTTGTTTGGTTCCCTTTTTACCGCTAACTTGTAATATTCCACAAGCCATTTAGGCCGACCTCCTGTTACTCGTCGAGTGGAGCCCCTGATGGGCCCGGGTTCCACGAACCTTTGCCCGGGTAACTAGAGGCCGTAACAGTAATTCTAATAATAATCTGACTGAACACCAGCCATTAGCAACTACTTCTAATGGAATTCAGAAGGCTTACGTCTGGAATTGATTTCGAATTCGATTAGGTTTTTCATCTCTCTTTATTTCCATTCTGTTTTTAGAAACTTTCTCATGAACAGTTTCGAATCGAGGAACTAGATCGAGTTACGGTTAATCGTTATTAGCGCCGCCAGGCATATGCAAATATTGTTTTATTCGGAGATATTTTTTAAATTAATCAAAATTTCTTAAACGTTTTTAATTTTGTCCAGTCCGAATTACGATCTTGGCGGCCAGTCTCAATGAAGACTAGCCATCTGCACAGGACATGATTGATCCGGTGCGATGACAGCAATCCGTCACTAGATGGCGCTTGTAGTCGCAAACAAAAATGTTATAAAAACATTTATGACGACCTCTAGTGGTCGTAAACTCGACTACTAATCATGAGGTCCTGGCTTCGAATGCCTGATCGGACCAAAAAAACAGTTATTGAGTTTTACTGTCAAAAGTTCTTAGTAGCAGCTCGGACTCAGGAAGTTGGCCGTGTTTCACCCCCGTGCCTCGGAAAGTTCATTAAGCCGTTGGTCATATGCCTGAGCTCTCCCCGGTCGTGTCGGATTGCCATCCCATCGGATTATGAGAGTGAAATAGTAATAAGTGCACCCTGCTATAATCTACCTATATCCTCCTGTGATGTAATCCTGTCCTGCGTAGATGGCCAGAAGACTAGACTAAAACAAAATTAGGTCTGGAGGACATTAGATACTTTCTGTCTAGCCGATCGTAGGTGTCGAAAGTCTGCATTCATTATAGACAGACATCATCATCATCATCATCATTACAGCCCTTCACAAGTCCACTGCTATACATAGCCCCCCCCCCCAGATTTGCCACAAAGCACGGCCCTAAGCCACCTGCATCCATCGACTTCCTGCATGTCTTACCAGGTCGTCACTCCATCTAGTGGGCGGTCGCCCTACACTTCGCCTACCGGTACGAGGCTGCCACTCGAGAACCTTTTTTCCCCAACGGTTGTCGGTTCTTCGAGCTATATGGCCGGTCCATTGCCACTTCAGCTTACTAATCCGTTGGGCTATGTCGGTCACTCTGGTTCTACTGCGGATATCCTCATTTCTAAGTTTATCACGCAGAGAAACTCCGAGCATAGCCCTCTCCATAGCTCGCTGAGCGACTTTGAGCGTCCTCATACGGCCAACAGTGAAGGACCACGTCTCGGTTCCGTAGGTCATCACTGGCAACGCGCACTGGATGTACAGCTTAGTTTTCAGGTTTTGAGGTATACCTGACGAGAAGATGTGTCGTAATTTCCCGAAAACTGCCCAGACGAGTTGAATCCGTCGATTAACCTCTCGACGAAGTTGGACTTACCTAGTCGGACTATTTGACCCAGGTAAACGTACTCGTCAACAACTTCGAGTTTAGTGCTCCCAACAACAACCGGCATAGGTGTGACATGAACATTAAACATGATCTTTGTTTTGTCCATGTTCATCTTAAGACCTATCCGTTGGGAGGCACTATTGAGGTCATTGAGCATAGTGCTTAAGTTCTCCAGCGATTCTGCCATAAGGACTATATCGTCGGCAAATCGAAGGTGAGTGATGTACTCGACATTGATGTTAATACCATATCCTTTCCAGTCCACTAGCTTGAAAACGTCTTCCAATGCAGCGGTGAAGAGTTTCGGGGAAATAACGTCACCCTGTCTTACACCTCTCTGCAGTTGGATAAGTTTCGTACTCTGGTTCTGTACTTGGATAGCCATCGTAGCCCTACTATACAAACACTTCAGCACTTCGATATACCGACAGTAAACTTCACACCGTCTAATCAAAGCCTTTCTCATAGTCCATATACGCCAGTCAAAGTGGCAGATTGTACTCTTCGGACTTCTGTACAATTTGCCGAAGGGTATGTATGTGTTCTATGGTACTAAAGCCTTTTCGGAAACCGGCTTGTTCGGGAGGCTGGAAGTCGTTGAGTCTGTGTGCGAGACGATTCGTAATGACTCTCGAAAACAGCACGTAGACGCGGCTAAGAAGGGATATCGGTCTGTAGTTCTTCAAGAGGGCGTTGTCACCTTTCTTGAAGAACAAGACCACCGCAATTCTGCTCCACGCCTCCGAAATAGTACCACCATGGAAGACGGAATTAAAGTGCCTCTGAAGGACTTCAAGTACCGGTTTTCCACCAGCTTTCAGAAGCTCCGCTGTAATTCCATCCTCGCCCGGGGACTTGCCGTTTTTAAGGTGCTGGAGAGCTATTATAATCTCGCTCAGACTGACGTCCGGGATATCATCAGAATAGTGTCGGATAAGACTTGCTCTTGGATCGTTACTCCACTTGCGTGTGGCTCCTACGATGATGTGTACAGCTGCCCATAGAATCTCTCAATCTCACTCAGAATCTCAGGTGTCCCGAAAACGATAGACAGACATAGACACCATTAATTATTGTAAGATCTAAAACACCAAGATCAGTTTTTTAGCAACGTCTGATAACGATTAATCCACCTGAATTTGAATCTAACTTTGACCGACAGTAATGATGTTAGATATAAAAACAAAACCTACCTGTGGTTGGTACACCACGCTGCGATCCGTCGCGCTGATCTCAATAGTCAGATTCTTAAGGTGCCTCTCCATCGGATCCAGGATGGCCCACAGTGTCACGATCATGCCGTCGATTACCAACAGTGCGCACACCAGGGAAATAAGGGGGGTATCTTGAAGAAGCTTCGTCTTACATACGCCACTTCGATTGCTGTAAGAATTGTGGCAGCAAATGTGTAGCATCTTAAAAAATTGTCAGTTTTAAAAATGTACAGTAAGAATTAAAGATAAGAATAAGTTGTAAAAAATGAGAGCCATGGTAGCTCAGGGCTAAGCGCTCGATGTATATTTTATAGTACGCGAGCTACCCGGATTCGATCACTGCCAGCCAATGGTATTGTTCTGCTCTTTCTGCCCATATCCCAAGTTATTTGGCATCTGCATAACATGTGGTCTTCCATTCTCTTCTACTAACCGTCATCTTTTCACTTATTTTATTTTTACGCATATTATCCCCATACAACATATCCATATTTTATTGGGCCTCCCTCTGCAATTAAACCCATACAATCTCAGCGCCAGATATCAATGATATTGTTAATTAAAATTTTAAGTGGTGCTTTACCACAACGGCGGTACCACGACTGTAAAAAAACACAACAAACCTGCCTGTCTGAAATATTAAAAAAACGTATTTCGGATACATGTGAAGTTCACGAACACTCTTAGTAATGAGAGTAGGCCAGTGTCCAGGAATGTAGCGTATATAGGTGATCGTTTGACTGGAAAAATGATGACATTATACTATATTCTTAATTTCTATGGAAATATTAGTAATGAAAGTATTTCCATTGGCTGGATTGTGAAATAGTAGTGTAATATAATTCTCTTCTGAACATATTTTATGGATTTTATCGCGTATTAATCTTTAATAATTTTAAATTCCCGTAGTTACAAATGCACTAACACAGGAATTCACGGAGTGACTCAATTGAGGAATTTCGTTTTTGTTAGATTTGTGGTAATGATAATTTATTTTAGGTACACGCACGTTTGAGCCGTGGTAGCTCAGACGGTTAGCGCTCGCTGTAAATTTCACAGTAGGTACACGACAAACCGGGTTCGATTCCCGCCGGAACCAATGAAATTATAATTGTAATTTTAAGTGCTGATTTACCACATGCTCGGCGGTGAAGGAAAACATCGTTAGGGAAACCTGCAAGTTTGAGAAATAAGAAAAAAATATTTCTAAGACATGTGAAGTTCGCCAACACGCATTGAACACGCACTAAAACCATCTCAGAAATGAGCGGAGGCCTGTGCCCAGGAGTGGGATGTATATAGGCTGTAACTTTAACTTTTTAACTTTTATACACACGTTTTACGATATGCATGTCGTAAATAACATATTTACGTGACTCTGAATGTGAAGTTTTTCGGTTCGTAATCAGAATGCGAGATTATTAAATACTCTTTAGTGACTGCCAAATGGCGGAAATATATCGTTTACATAGCTTTTACGTAGCTACAAAGGTGTGAGAGTGATGCGAGACGTCTGATACTGTAGTCGCCATTCCTGCCAAGTGTAGCAAATCTGTTCTACAATAGGAGAGGCTAGATGGTGGATGATGATTTGCTCGTGCATCGTCCATCCATAATGGAATGGTAAATGGATAGTCCGTAGAAATGTATCTATCATTTATTAAGACTATAAATGCAGCCGCGTTGTCACCCCTGAGCTCTAAGGGAGTTCCCCTTATTACCAGTAACGAAGATCTTTGGTGGTCTGCTACTTCGGTCTCCAAAACTACTGGGGTCTTTTCCGGCCGAGCCTACCCAGATGCTGTAGCTTTGATACATCTGTAACGTGACTCGATTGAAATCAAAAAGAAGATTCACTTGCCTGATAAAAATTCGATGAACTCGATATGTCTTCGCAAACATTGATCCAAATGCCAGTGAGAATCCGGCCGACAAAATGTACACTCTGCCCTGCAAGAAATAATTAAAATGAAGTCGTAAACGACATTTTTAAAATCAGAAATCATTCATTACAACCGATAGCAAATTGATTGAGAACATACGCATTTCCCCATATAGGTATAGTCAGTTTAAATGTCTTTTAAACAACTTCATATTTGTACCTTACCAACTTATTTTAAACCTCAGAACTTTCTATAATGTACGTGAGGGTAATATACTTAGTCACCTTAAGCTTTGCCACCTTATAAAACCAAAACTAGGAGGTCAGAGATAAAAACAAAAAGTCCTTTAATAACTAATATATTAAGAAAAAAAGCAAACAATAATTAGGCAATAATTAGGAGCACTTCGAAAAATCTACTTATAAAAACTAACTATACTACACCATACTAAAATTGACTAAAATGTTTACTGAAATGTCAACTGTTAATGCGTCGATAACAGGGCCTCCATGAAAAGCTATCGTATCACAAAGCCATCTATGCAAACAAGGCTGTAGTTTTTGAGTTATAAGAATGTGACCATATTAAGCGGATGACCATATTACACTCACGTATTATACTTACTAATTATTTTAGACTGTATTATACATTTTACACTTTGACTGTACCGTGTAGTGGCGTTATTAAAGAGTCCACTACTCCATATCATATCCCGTGGGTGTCATAAGAGGCGACAAAGGGAAACAGAAACAGAAGATTATCTGTAGTTTTTTTTGTTGTTTAAGCTGATATATAAAATAATGTTACGAGTTTGGGGTTCGTAACAATAAAAACTGCCGATTGAATTACCAAAATTGACGCTTTAATTACAGAACACCAATTACAACTTAAAACACACTGATCACAAAATACAATTGTACTACTGATCACTTAAGTTATCAGTTATATGGCTTCGAAGTATGCGCTTGTATCGCCAATGCAGTACTGACTCGGTCGCAACTAGTTTCTGGATGTTAACGCTGTTAGTCTATGCGACTCTTACAGCTTCGTCTGACTCAGGGCTCGCGGCCTGCAAGGCCGCGAGATAATTAAAAAGGCAAAGGCAATGAGGTGAGGATGATGATGAATAGTTTATGATTTGGTATTGTTACCAATCATCATGTCGCCTTTTTAGGCGTATTTGAGCTATCTAACCGCTGTCCGAGGGGGGAGTCTGGACCCCCGTCTCTGACTGCTCAGCTTATGTCAGTCGATGGTCTGGGCGGTGGGAATCGCCCAAGAACGCGGGTGTACGGTGTGAACGCGATGTGTGCTGGAGCGCGTCGTGCCCGTTTACGGGTTTGACGCCCCCCATTCGTAATCCTAATAGTGTTTGTCCCATTTAGTGTGGGTGTAGTGACATTGTGTGATGTGCCTGCGACGTTTGGGTCGACTGTGTCGAGCGATTGTGTTGACTCGGTCGCGGTCCTTATCGACCTTATATAGGGCGTCTTCTACTGAAACATTCAGAATGTTCGAGTACATACCGGTCGCGAATGACTAGGTGTAGAAAGTTCTAGCATGGAAAGTTTTAGAAAAATCTTGATTCTCCTAGTTTTGCTACCCGATACTAGATGGCGCTAGGGGTAAGTCGCCATGTACCAGGCATTAATTATGGCGCACAACAATAATAAATAAATATCTGTGATTTGTAACCTTACTTTTTTAAATGGCTTCTGTTGATATTATAAACTTACAGTACACATAGCAGAGAAGGGGACATATGAAGGCAGCGTAGCGTTGTCCACTCCCAGTAGAGCCACCGCGGTGTACACCAGTACGCATCCAATCAAGGTCATGTTGTTGAGACGAGGGGACGACAGTTTAATTGACCTGGAAGTAAGATTTTTAGATTAAGACTTCAAGCGCAACTTGAGGGTACCTCAGGTATTTCTTCGGAGTGAAATAAAGTTCAATAAATTACATGGTCAACTAACTGCATATATTAAAATTTAAAAATGTTTATTCAAATTATAGTCTGTTCAGCGAGAATTAATAAATATTATGAAAGAGTTCGCTATTACGACTTGTGCTGTATTCCAACTCTGGGGTCTTTGATTTAACAAGTACCATGTTAGAATTTTGATTAGAATGTATAATCTAAATTAATATTTTCATTAGTTAATTTTGACAATATAATGTAATAGTCAAGGGACTTGCAAGTGCGTATTAACACTTATTTCAAACACATTATTGTCCGTAACGAAGAAGGTCTACTAAAATAGATCAATATCTTTTTTCACCAAAATTTCCTTTATTAGTTTTTAAATTGCACAGTTTTTTTTTATTTATTTTTTTAATTTCAAGCGTATCAGGCGCTTTACAGCGTCACGGGGGTGGCACTGAGATGTTTGACGTCCTGATAGCCTTCGTTAAGACGACACATCGAAAAAGTGACTTCAGGCTATTGCCGTACTGATTCGAGTGAATACGTAATTTCTATAAAAACTTGAAAAAACTCCGTCATAAGGTCTAAAGTTACCGCCCGTTCGTCGCCCGCGACGAATAAAACCGCTTAGAAATTGTCAGAATCTTAACATATTTTTTTATAAAATTATTGATTTAAGTTATCAAAATAATGAGCAAGTAAATTATGAATTTACGAAACGAAATTACTTAATCTATAGGCTTGGGAATCACTCAAATATATTATGAATATGTTTGAGTGATTCCCAAGCCTATAGATTAAGTAATTTCGTTGTAATTTGAATTATAGTGATTTTTTAGAGGTGTTTTCGCAAATAATTATGATCGAGTCAAAATTATACAATCGTGTTTTTGAACAATCAAATTCAAGATAAAGACATGAATTTACCTATATCAAAATTCCAGTTTCGTTAGTGGTGTCATAGTTCTATACTTTTCGATGAAAGGAGGTGCATTTTTTCACGGTGTAGCATTAAATATGACTTTTAACGAATGCTTTTGAAAACTTTTAAATTATTAATTTTTTTGGTATGTACTCCGTGGAACGAGCTTACAGTATCTTGATCGCTTTTACTACAAAGTCACAGAAAATATGCAGGCCTTATTTATCAAGGGATAATTTTTTTGTTATACAAAAATTGTTTAGTAAGGGTTAGGTTATCTACACTACTAAAGAGTATTATTATGTACATAATAACTCCTGGGAATGAGGCGATCGCTACCACGCTGTTTCTAAATGTTTGCATACTAATTGCATAAATTGATATGTTGTAAAATAATTTCATTTAAAAAAAGTGCGTTTCTTGCCGGTTCTTCCCAGGACAGAGGTTTTTCCCGAACCAGTGTTAAAAGTAAAAAAATACTCTCAGTGAGAATAACATGTACCTAATCTAAATCGAATAAAATGATTCTAATATACTATCATATTATTGAAGTCTTGACGTAGTATAAAGAATATGGTGCCGCCCAGCCATCTTCCCTATTGAAATTACATCCTAACTTTATTTTGATTTAATATCTACCTTCTTTTAATTTAATAGTATCTCGAATTATACTTGGTAGAAATCGTGATTTTTTGCAAGGAAAAGTGTTCATCAATTCTGACGAAATTGTGGAGATGATCCTGAACATGCTGACATAGGTACTGCAGACTTCCGCTCCTTGTAAAAAATCCGAAACGTCTGGAGTTAAAAAAAATTAAAATTAAACGCGAAAATATTAGTAAGATTAGTTTTTTAAATGTTATGTCAGACTTGTACTATATTGACAGAAATTTTATTGTAAAATTTTATACATACTAGGAATACTAAAAAATTAATAAATTGTAATTACTAATTAATAATTATTTTATTGATAAATATTTGAATTTTAATTATGAATTAAAATCAGCAATAAATTAAAAATAACAAATAAATAACAGTCACAAAAAACACAAGAAAATAAGTAGGTACCTATTGACTTTTCCTTAAATCGCGCGTAAAGGTTACACGCAACACATTTTTCTTTTACAAGTATGACAAATAGGTTTGGTAATTTGGGTAATCGCAACACCAGACGCTTCGCGTAATGGACGTAGTTTTTCGTCACCTCTGTGCTATTATATTAATAACTTTGTGTATATCATAACATATTAAGATAATTTTGATGTTTTTATGTTACTTCAGGGACTTTTGGATTTTTTTTAAACATTTACCTGTAAGATTTTATAGATAAGTAAATAGCGCAAATGATTAATAGCCTCTCCAATAGCGATGATTCGCGAAATTTTCTTACGTATTCACGATTTTCCATTAATAGCATTCTACATGATTTATAATATACAGCCAGGCGAAGGTGATCATCAGTTCATTTCTATACAAGAAGAAAGCCAAATTTGTCCCATGATCGGACCTATGACTTTACAGGCTGGTGTAAAGAAAGCAGAATAAAAAAAAGAAAAAGTGATGACTGCGGATGCTAACGTAAATATTCCGACCCGAACGTTCATGAGATTCTTTTTACCCTTCCACAAATTAATAAAAAACCCCTATACAGTAGACCTGAAGTTTTCAATCAACATAAGTTATCGATTTCCTTATTTTCCTTTTTCTTTCCTGAAAAAAAAACGTAACTTACCTCCACACTAGATTTTCCCCTGTATCGTGGGGGTACAAACATCCAGCCCCAGAATAGTTAGTGGCTCAGACGAATTTTTTTACTTCATCTGAGCTTGTAAGCCATACAAATACTTGTTATGTGCGGAATTCGAATCCGCGGCCCTTAGCGCAGCAAGTCATTATTAAAGTCATTATATATATGTATATATATATTATATATATATATATATATATATATATATATATATATATATATATATATATATATATATATATATATATATATATAATACTATATTCGCACCCGCGCGCGCGCGCGCGCGCGTGTGTGTGTGTGTGTGTGTGTGTGTGTGTGTGTGTATGTATGTGTGTTACAAATAAATTACATTACTACATATTGCTTAAAAGAGCCTCAGTATCATCATAGCTCTTATGAAATAGCCATTTGGTTAGAACATCTTTGCAATTACGGTAGTTAAGGTGATGATGAATTTTTATGCTTATACTAATGCTTTTATGCTATAATGTGATTTTTTTTGAAACCAAGACTTAAATAAATAAATAAAAAATGTGTGAAGTAACTTGTTGCAGGTCTCCTTACCTTCGTTTACTATAATGCAAGTTGAAAGCGAGAAAAGCCAACGCCAGAGCCACACCAGCAGCTGCCAATACAGTAACCGCTAATCTCGCCGGAGCCCATACAGAGTCCACCCGTAACACTAACACTCTTCTGGCTGCGGGTATTCCCCCCGCCCAGTGTGGCCGCGAGCATTCAGGACACGTCATCTCTCGGCCGTGAGTGTACAGCGCCACTGTTTTTGGACGACCACCTATGAACGTTAATGTGTTACCAACGTTTATAAAAATGGCACGCTTGCTACCATGGAGATTAGAGAACAGGAGAACGATCACTACGTGCTAAAGCATAGCCCGCCTGTCCCTGAAAATTTGTAGAATGTATAGCCATACTGCCGTCGGTAAGCAGTATCTGTTAAGTAATTTTTTATTTTTGGACAAAAAGAAACATTAAAAATGGTGAAATATTATAAATCAAATAATAATAATAATAATAAATTAATAATAATGTATATTTTTATAATTTTAATTATTATAATTTATAATATTTATAATAATTAAAATTATAAAAAAACATTATTGAGACAACTTAGCGATCGCAGCGCGCACTTATTTTGTCCATATTTCTGGGACACTATTTTCTACAGCGATCGTTCTCCTGTTCTCTCTAGCCTCGATGCTTGCTGCTATAATTTTTCATAAATTTTGGCATTGCTTACGAGGCTTTTCGCCAAAAAGAATACATCACGCTGTGATATGTTTAACAAGGTATAAATATGTAAACAATTTAAAATTAAATGAATAATTAATTGCGTACATCCTTACCCTCTCTCAAAGTTCTTTATATCGTCTGTAATGTGGTTTTCTGGTAAAGATCGTTTTTAAGCAATAAGGCCGTAAATTGTACCTTCGTATAATTTATGTTTTTTTTTCTTGTTTATTGATGTATAATTAAGTACAAAAGTCACCTAGTGGTCGAAATTCGATAGTAATTCATAAAAATTATAATTTTGTATATTGGGTAATTTGTATTTCAATTTTTCATTAAAACACAATTTATATCAGCTACAATATTTTTTTTAGAATAAGGGGACATACAAGCACACAGTTCATCTGATGGCAAGTGGATGCTACGACCCATATATAGGGAATGCAATTCCGCAAGATAATTTCAATCCAGGTATTTGCTGGATTGAACCATCTTAGTCCCGCTGGATCCAGGTATTTGATGGATCCAGCAGGGTGGAACTAGACCTCTGAAATCTAAATTAAAGACTTCGTTTCTATGGTTTTAATTTGAAGCCAAATAAAACAAGCCTTTTGGTATATTGGTAATGGTTTATTTATTACTTTAGACATACAGATGATGACATAAATTGCAGTGATAATTAAACATTATTTTGGAAGTAGCTTCTTAAAAAAGTTAAAGTATTAATTGTGTCATCTGCTAAACAGCTTCTGATATTGCACACAAGCTAGCCAGCAGCTGTAAAAGCCCGCTCAGCTTCCACGCTGGTTGGTACAATATCATAAGTGCGTAATAGGCGAACTGAAGGTAAGCCTTTTAATCCACCCGACTCGAAATAGTTCATTTCCTTCTTTATCAAAACCTCAAGGTTACTCATACTTCCAGACCTAGGTGGCTGGGCTGTTGAGCCAGGACTTTTGATACTAGTCAAAGTCAGTTCGAGTTCATTTTCAAGTGACATTGGTGCTGCGGCTGCCGTTTGCGTCTCGAGATTAGAGAGAGCGATGTCGTCATAAGGATCATCACTCACTAGAGCACTAGCCTTTCTACTATATTTTTGATGGCCTTGCGTATTACACTCTTTGGAGGTAGATTGAATGTTTCATCATAAATAAATTGACTTTTGTCTTCTTCGTACTTATGTGGATCATGTAAGTATAATAAAACCGCTGTCAAGTCAGTTCGCCGCTCTGAGATCCGTTTCCTCAACGAATCAACAAGTTTTCGGGCTAACGGTTTATTAATATTTATCAGTTTGCTAATAATAAATCTCAAAGTAGTTTCCGCAGTAATCAAATTAGACTCACGTCTACACAAAACTTCGACTGCTAATTTTACCGGCTGTAATATTCGTTCTAGATCAATTAGTACATCATATTCCTGTTCAGTGAAAAAGTAGTCATGATTTGCACCAAGACCTAAGTCAATCAGGGTTTTCGATACGCACGATCTTATTTTGTTGAATATTTTTATCATTTCGCACAGGCTTGACCACCTTGTTTGACAATCCAACAATAAAGCAATATTTTTTCCCATGTCTTTTGTCATATACGTCTGCAGCAGATCGGTTTTAGTAGGTGAATTTTTAAATATATTTTACTACTTTTCGTACCTTCTTAACAACTTCTGCATATTCCACAGTCAGGTTTATTTCACTTGTAGGTGTAGGAAAAGACAAATCAAAAATGTCATTTTTGTCATTTTCCAAGTCATTGTTACAATTCTCATCAGCTCTTTCACTAACTGTCTCATTTCGCACTGACATTTCTTCATTTGATGTTTCGTAGCCACTACGTGAAGAAGTATTTTGTTTATAAATAACATCCAAAACAGCCAATTGGATGCCATGTGCATAACAGAGTTGTTGATGGGGTTTGATGAGTTTCCCAACTTTTACCATGACTTTGGCACCATCTGTGGTAATACAGATTACATCCTTATCCAAAGATAGCTCGTATTCTGATAATTTTTCTTTTAAAACAGTGATACATGTTTCTGCAGGTAGACTTCCATAAATCCGCACCAGCCCTAAGTTCCAAAAAATAGATTTTCATTAGCCAAGGCGTGGACACGTTTAAATAGCGCCTATTTCTCGTTGAAGTCCATTCGTCGAATGTGAGGGTGAATTTGTGGTTGCTCTCTTTCAGCTTTAGAAGATCTCGAATAATGGTAATTTTTACAGTCGTGCCGAAATGCATAACCATTAATTTGATAGAATTAGGCGATTTTGGTAACTTATAGCCCCCGGCTTTAAAAAGGTCTCGTAAATCCGACGAGGTGCAGAAAACCCGGAATGGAAAACCATCTTTTGACACCATGCGTGATACCCTCGTTTCTACAGCACTGTTTTTGCACTTGGAAAATGATCAGTGATTTTGTGCTTCTTTGCCGAGGTTGATGGTTGAGCTTCACAATGAGTCGATGTCGAGGAACTGGACGTTGACGCAATTGCAGAAGCTGCAGCACTTCCGCTCCCGTCTGATGCGCTTTCCTTGTCAATTTTGTGTTTTGACTTTAGATGCACATGTAAACCTTTTGTCGAACGTCCGGTCGTTTTAATTATTGATTTACACAACTTACGTTTTGCGGTTTGTGAATCTTCGGCCTTCAAAAAGTACTTCCATACAGGAATAATACCACAAAAGTCTTTATACACTTTTTCCGACATTATTGTCACTCATTAAATAATACAAAACCTGGAAATTTCTCAGTTTATTCAGATTTATCTAAAGAAATCAATATTCTATGAAAAAATCACTGCGTAACGTCATAATCACCAGTTGTAACTGGCAAAATATTAAGTACACAAACAAAGGCGGGGGAATCCCCGCGCCCTCACACTGTTTCTCTGCACCACGCATCGCTTAGCTCAGTTTACGCGCCGCCGCGCGAACATTAACACGTATGGACCATGCTTCTCTGTAATCCCGCCAATCCAGCGGGATTCCGTAATATTTTCGTACGAGATTAGTCCTGCAAAATGCATGCGGGATCCAGGTATTTCGGGATCCAGGTATCCCGGTATTGCATACCCTACCCATATACATCTACATCTATCCACTAATAAGAAACAAAATGCAGATGCGTTGCCAACCCGGAGGACCAAGATAGAATACCTCGTTTTTAGTAAAAATGGTCTCCTGCCTTGGTCGAGCCGGCCCATTCGTGCTACAATCATAACACAGCTACAGTGTGGCTCTACCACGTGTAACTTTGTAATTTTAAAAAAATTAAGCCTTTTTCCTTTATTTTATATTTTGTATTGAATTTTGTATAGAAGAACGAACTTTAAATTCGAATTTTAAAATTTTTAGTAGCAATCGCAAACTCTGTACGACTGTTTGACCACAGACTATTAACTGTTTGACATTGATAGCATGAACGTTAACAACGAATGTATTATTTTATTTTTAATGACTATTTCAAATTTCACGCTCGTCGGTGCTCGCAATATCCTTAAAAAGGGGTACAAAATTTCCCTTCAAATATTAAATTTACCGTGTAGTGACGGCTGAGAATATCCACTACCCCATATATTCCCGTGGGTGTCGTAAAAGGCGATAGAGGGAGGAAGGCAGGAGATGGGCAGCAGCATCTTCCTGATAACAACAACTATACAATAAAAAAACTGCGGTTGCCGACCCGCTCGCCAACCGTGGCAACTATGGCACACATCCCCCCATGAGGTACGACACAAACAAACAGCCCCCAGTCCCTGGCGGCCCCACTATTCCTGGCTACGGTGGCGACCATGTTAACGGCGGGGCAGGGGGTGCTAAGAATCTCCGGTAGAGGTTCGATTGCCACCTACGACGACTCGACCTGGAGGACTTACGCACTATGCTTAATGACCTCAATAATGTCTCCCAACGGATACGTCTCAAGATGAACATGGACAAAACACATATGATGTTTAATGTCCATGTCGCAACTATGTCGGTAGTTGTTGGGAGCGCTAAGTCGACGAGTACGTTTACCTGGGACAAATAGTCCGAGTAGGCAAGTCCAACTTTGACCGAGAGGTCAATCGACGGATTCAACACGGTTGGGCAGCGTTCGGAAAATTGCGACACATCTTCTCGCCAGCTATATCTCAAAACCTGAAAACGAGACTATATAACCAGTGCGTGTTGCCAGTGATAACCTATGGAACTGAGGCGTAGTCCTTCACTGCTGACCGTATGAGTACGCTCAAAGTCACTCAGCGAGCTATGAAGAGGGCTATTCTCGGGGTTTCTTTGCATTATAAACTTAGAAATGAGGATATCCGCAGTAGAACCAGAATGACCGACATAGCCCAACAGATTAGTAAGCTGAAGTGGCAATGGGCAAAATATAGCTCGAAGAACCACAACCGTTGGGGAAAAAAGGGGTTTTCGATTAGCAGCCTCGTACTGGTAGGCGAAGTGTAAGGTGACCCCCCACTAGATGGAGTGACGACCTGGTAAGACATGCAGGAAGTCGATGAATGAAGGTGGCTCAGGACCGTACTTTGTGGCATACCTTGGGGGAGGCCTATGTTCAGCAGTGAACTTGTGAAGGAATGATGATGATGATGAAGTATTAATATATAGAATTCATTCATTCATTTATAATTAAATTAATAATTAACGTGACGGCAGACTTGTTTGTTGTTGTTGTGATTGTTGATGCTGCACTTGCCGTCATGATCATTCCCGTTACGAGAAAGTTTAAAGGTTAATTCAAAATCATTGTCTTGAAGTGTTTTACGCACGTTGAAATTGGATAAAAGAACGTTATAATAATGAGGACCTATCCCTACAGTTGCATTTATTTTCAATGGAATTCTATAATTCTTTAATCTTCTTCAAGATATTTATGTTAAAATTGGATTTCAAAATGAAATTATGATGAAAATCCGATGCTGTGGTCAGAATTCTCTTTTCATATCACGAGGAACATAGACGGTCTATGTTCCTAAGTATTATTATTAAGTACAGAATATTAACACACGAAGCGATGGCCGCTCTCCGGTCTGAACACCTCGCCCGGCGGGAGATCTCTTTCTTTCCTTTTACGGCCAAATTGCTGACTTCGACGTGATATGAACACGCAACATGCGCAACGCAACGCAACTTTGGTAACCTCAACTTCAAGCTTTCGTCATTGTCCTTAAGTCCATCGCATCGCATCCATTCGCTTGCAGATTCTTATTCAGATCCGGCTGAGCTTAGCTTATTGATAAACTATCGTATTGTCTATTTTAGAACACATGTCTAAATTAGAATAGGAAAACGTTATTATAATAAAATATTTGTATATAAATTTAAAAGTAATTACTTCTGGAGGTACAACTTCTAGTGCACGTAACACGCACTCAGCTTTTTAGTTCATATTTTCCCAGCGAAAATATAATCTAAATATAATCCATATTTATAACAACGTTACATAAAACATACCTTGTATTTGATAGAAAGCCGACATCCCGATCCTATCAGCGCCGTTGAAGGACACGGGTCCCTGAAAACATACCTCATTATGTATTCAGGCCGTTTTGTTCAAGCGAATTTACAGAATAATTTTATGAAAGTGTAGTATTTCATCTAAAAAGCTTTTTCTTTAGAAGTCGGCGCTTGTTTCGGCACGATTGTTAGACGATTTCAAAAGAGGAAAGGGTTTTCAATTCGATTATATGTATACTTTTCTTTTAATATGTATATTACGTGATATCTTTGCTAAACCGATTTAAATTATTCTTTTTTCATGTACATTTGGGAAAAAAATTGCACCCCTAAGTGAGATAAAAAGGAACAAAGCTTTTTTGTAACTATACGTTATTAAGTGATAGTGTAAAGGCACTAAATCCACCGGATGGTAAGTTGATGCTGTGGCCCAAAGGCGGTTATATCTTATATCCATCCTCTGCTGAGAATCAAAATGCAGATGCGTTATCACCCCTGAGGACTAAGATGGAATGCCTCGTTTCCAGTGAAAAGGATCTCCAGTTCTTTACACTCACCATAATATAAAACTCAGCAGCAATAAACTGTTATTTTTCGCTGGCATGCGAGAGCAAAAGAGGAAGAGAGAAAGAGAGAGTTTGTGCCACGGACGATATAGCAAGAGTGTGGTTCTACTACGTGAAAAATGGAATATGTCCAACACTGACTGCCTCGTTGGTCTAGTGGTTGTAGTAGTGCGACTGCTGATCATGAGGTCCTGGGTTCGAATCCCGGGTCGGGCCAAAAAATTTATTATTGAGTTTTTTCGTCAAGAAATTCTCAGTATTTCCTAACTTATGGTGGGAACAAGGGGTGGAGGTAGGAGCCGAGTCTATTTTTTCGGCTTTATCGCTCGTTTAGCACCACCCGGGGGACACGTATAGGGTGGGCCTAAGGTTAGGTGGTCTAAACCTACGGACGCGAGCGACTCACCCTTTATAGATAAATGTGGTATGCAAGATGATGTTGTGACCAGGATTAAGAAAGGAATGCTTCGGTGGTTTGGTCATGTAGAAAGAATGAGTGAGGAAAGAGTGACAAAGCAAATTTTTATGGCAGATGTGAACGGCAGAGTCGGGTAGGGACGCCCTAGAAAAAAGTTTATCGACCAAATTGGCGATATTTTGAAAATGGGCCACGTTAGAAATACCCTTAACCGACGAGCATGTATCCGTAGATATATGGATGTAAAGGAAGCGAAAGAGGTACGTCAGGATCGTGCCAAATGGAAGTCCGTAGTCTCTGCCTACCCCTCTGGGTGACAGGCGTGAGTGTTTATGTATGTTATTATGTAAATTCTCAGTAGTTGCCTGGAGTCAGGAAGTTGGCGGTGTCTCACCCCCGTGCCTCGGAAAACACGTAAAGCCGTTGCCCCTGCGTCTGATCTCTCTCCGGTCGTGTCGGTTTACCGTCCCATCGGATTATAAGAGTGAGGGAATAGAGTGTGCACCTGTGCTTATGCATACCATTGGGAACTATAATCCTGTCCTGCGCCGATGGCTAGCTTCCGTTGAGGCAGGCCGCCGTGGCCGAAATTCGGTCTGGAGGACATTATTATGTCTAACACAAAAATATAAAAAGGCTCTTGTTAATGATTGTTATGATGTACTGCGTAGTAGCCAAGTTATCTGACAAATGGGCCACGGTGACCCGAGGAGGACATTGACTTGACGTGTTATTGAATCATCGTCAACAGCCTCGTGCGGACTAGTGTGTTCTTAAGTATCTCCGAGACGGACCAGGCCGCTGTACCGTTCCCTATGGAGATTCCATGACCCTCGTTGATGCTATGGGCAACCACTATACTATAGGGTTTAGACGGTAGGATTCTAAAGTGACTTGCTTGCTTCTCCTAGAGCTGCGGAGTATTCATGAGGATTTCCCCCATGTTCAACAGCTTAACTTAGAAATCGACATCAGGAAAAATAAGAAAAATGTTATTTATATATACTCACAGATACTCCAAGAAAGCTGAGGTTAGCAAATTGGTTCAAAAACTCCTCAGCCATATCCTTTCGATCATAATCGAAGTGCCCCAGGCCTAGCCTTGAGCTATTACTCGATGTGTTGTTAAGAGTATCTGAACTCCTCCATAACAACTCCGCCTTGCTGAGGCTCAGCGCGATAGCCCAAACAGCATCGTACGTGTGAGGAGCAAAGGGAGAAACTGGGACTCCTGCTCCTTCCATTTCTCGGTGGAACATTTCATTTGTCTGTAATGCAGTGAAAAAATGTAAAGACGAGAGTTTCCTAATTTTGCGCCTTCAAGTGTATAATGATTATATTTAAGTGTCACCCTACACTAAGAATTTCCACTGTATCGTTGAGGTGTTTCAAATGAAAGAATTACATTCGGACAAACATTCAGACCCAGTACAAGTATTTGTAGACACTACAATAACTTGTTCAACCTTTCATTATTTTATTACAGTCTGTCAATTTACAGCTGACATAGGCCTGCCCATATGTTGCCTCATAGAGGAGGATACTGCCATAAGGCCCTCGATAGGTAAGCTGATTGGGAGCTGCAGTGTTTTATTATTTCCAGCTGTTATCAGATTTTGCTGCTCATCTCCTATTTCAGTTCCCGTCTGTCGCCTCTTACGACACCCAAGGGACGATATGGGGCACAACAAGGACACTCACAAGTTCAGAAATCAAGACCACATCCTTTAGTGGATAATATTATACCCCCACTAAACAGCAAGGGTACTAATCAGTCCAAAAAATTGCGCAGGAATTACATGCTTTAATTCTGCCGTCTTCTTTCTACCAACAACTAGGTGGTCGGTGATTCCTCACTGTTTTTGTTGATATTCCACACATTAGAATCAAAATCAAACCGTTTGCTTCGTCCTTTGGAATGCGTACAGCAAAGGAGTGGAATGTTTGTGAATACGAGTACAATCTGAGCGTCTTCAAGGCATAGGCAAGGAATAGGCTTTTGTTACGCTAAAACAGTGCGATTTATTATTTAGGGCTTCACCACCACTTACCACCAACTGGGATTGTGGTTAAACACTGGCTTAAAATATGTAAAAAAGAAAATGATACCACATCCTTTAGTGGAAATTATTACTTCCGTACTACACAGCAAGGGTACTCACTAGTCCAGAAAACGAGACCACGTCCCCCGCGATCCCCCTGTGCGCAGTGACGGACACGAGCCCCTCGAGCGCGCGCGCCAGCTGTGCGCGAGCGCAGGGCGCGGCGACGCGCAGCCGCGGCGGCGCGCCCGCCACCAGCCACGCGTACTCCGCGCCGTACATGCCCAGTCGGAACGCCTGCGATCTCGACACGACAATACCTCAGTATCTTTATAACATCAAACTGAATATCGGCGCGAATCGTGGGCATCAACCGACAGCATTTGCGCATATACACAAAGACTTTAATGTATACCGCCAAATCAGAACAAAAACAAGCACACATAGTGTCACAGCAATGGGTTGAGAGGGGCGCGGGCGCGGGCGGGTAGCTTGAATGGTAAATATGCCAATTGTTATTTACGATATTTACTGTTTTAAGGCAAATACGAAATAAAGTTAAATACTCATCTGAAATAAACATCAAATCACGTTGACAAAGTGCGCTCATGAATAATGACAGCGTTTTCTTAGGTGCATTACATAAAATCAGTGTTAAATTTACTAAAAAAACATTCGCGTTTTATAGAACAAAGAACTTGTCTTCTCGCCCGCTCGCAGTCAACTAAATGAGTTAAGGAGAACTGACCGTAATTTGTTATGTAGAAAGCCGCAGAACCCGTCTAGTAGTATATACAACATGTAACAAAAACCCTGTGGTTCCCGTTAACTGCGTTATCAGAATCAGTATCCAAGCATATAGAAATAATTTATTTTCAAAAAAAAAAACACATTAAAAAATTAATTTTAATGAAAAAAAAATTAATTTGCAAATTGTGTGTGGTTTTATTATATCTGCATTGGCCGATGAGTAAGATGATTGTCAAAGACCCCGCATTACCGATACTCGTGTGAGTTAGAGGAAATAAAACCACATACAATTTGCAAATTAATTTTTTTAATGTTTTTAAAAAAATATTTCTATACGCTTGTATACTGATTCTGATAACACACTTACGGGAACCACAGGGTTTTTGTTACATGTTGTAAGAAGTGTTTGTGTCGTACGAATAGCGACGCGAGTCGTGATCACAAAGTGACAGCATTTGCGCATGTACATTTTCCAGCCTATATAATGCAGGCGAATGTCACGTGAATTACCAGTAGAAGATTAACTAATGGACTAATCTAATAATCTTCTTACTATTCGAGCCGTATTTAATAAGGCCGATTTTTGAATTAATGCCTTCAGCCATTTGCCTAAACCTAACTTGGACAGATAATCGTCCATATTTTTACCAATAAGCCCATTGACTGAAACAACTATTGGTACAATAATAGTAGAATCAACACAAATAGAACAACAAAAATAGCGACAATTTCATGAGCCAGGTCGATATATTTTATTTTTTTATCTTTCTCTGCTTTTACGAGATTCTCGTCATGAGGAACACTGATATCCACAATTATTCCTTGCGTGTAGTTCGGTCTATCACCACAATGACAGGTTTATTCGCCACACAAACCTGTCTGTAATAATTGATGGCCGGTCCCAATACAGTGTGACACTTCTATTTTCAAGAACGGCTTTGGTTCAGTACTTATATTACGGAACGTCCTGTGAGTACAAAGCCATATTTCATGGCAAGCTGTTGGTGTATAATTCTGGCTACTTGGTTATGCCTGTGCAAGTACTCACCATTTGAAAGTTGCGAACAACCGGAGATAACATGTCTGAGTGACTCTCCAGTATGGCGACATGCGCGACATACGTCAACTGTGCCGTCCCTCAGGATGTATCTCCGGTAGTTGTTCGTCTTAATTACCTTGTCTTGTATTGCACAGATAAAACCCTCAGTTTCTCCAAAAAGGTCACCAAATCGTAGCCAGTGTACTGATGCAACCATGTCTACACAAGGATTAGTCAATGCTTATAAAAAATCGACCATGCAGTTGTTTGTCATTCCAAACCTTTTTGCGTTCATCTACAGTCATAGTAAGAGGCCTCTGCCAGTCCTTCGGCGACATATTAAGCGGGGTTAATGATTTGTCATTAATCACAGAATACGTCATTATGAATGATGCGATGTGTCTTTTTTTAATAAAATAGTCTCTGAGGTTGTACACTTCACGGTTGTGTATGGTTTTGACATGTTTAATAAGCCACGTCCACCATCTTTTCGTGGAAAATATAACCTCATGACAGATGATTGCGGGTGGTGCATTCTGTGCGTAGTCATTAATGTACGGACTCTTCTATCCAAGTCATTAAATTCTGTCTGAGACCACTTTGTAACACCAAACGTATATAGAAGGCTAGGTATTACCCAGGAGTTATATGCTCTAATTTTGTTTCCGCCGGATAAATGACTTTTGATAACTTTTTTTAATCTTGACATAAATTTTACTTTTGAATTTTCTTTAATATTTTTGTCATTAATTCCTAGTGCTTCTGCCATGCCCAAGTATTTATAGGTTTCTGTTTCAGAAAGAGAACTGAAGTGTAAGTCATTTGTAATTGCAAAATTATTACAATCTTTAATTTTGCCCCTATTTACGTTGATGACAGCACATTTGTACAACTATTAGTTGTAGTGTTCTCCCAAGACCGATACACCCACTTTTGGTTACTTTCGAATGTGCGATTCTGGAAGTACCGTTTAGATCTTTCTGAATATCGTCTAATACGGTTGGCCCATGCTTTAAACTTTTGTTTTTGTGTATCAATTAATTCAGTAATTTTATCCGGAAAATGTGGATCTGATTGGCTAATATCATTTTCATTAGCGATTTAATTTACTAAAGTAATTATTTTTTTATGTCTGTTACCTGTTTCGTAGCTTATTAATTTTCCTATAATTTTGCGAGTATTGTCAATTCGTTTTTGAATTCTTTGTTTCCATTTAAGTTCTGTATTATTTTTCTTAAAATTTTGTACTAAAATGACAGGAATTTTCATTATCATACATATAGGATGGGCACAACAGTATAGAAGAGACATAGTTTCCAAAATAGAGTTACTTTTTTCAAAATAATCTTTACATAGAATATTCATTGATGCTACTGTTAAAATAGTTTATTTGTTCTTAGGAAGTTTAGATAGTTTCGGTCTATTTTCTATAGGTGTATTTTTATGTTCCAGAAGGGAACATTCGAAAGTCCTTTTCATAAATTCGCTGTCTTTGGAACTCACATCTATATCAAAACAATTTTGCTCTACTTTTTCGTTATTTAAGATAGTAATATTTATATTATGGTTACTGTTATTTACATTTAAGTCATCAGTCTCACATGGAACTGTTCGTTGGGAATCAGGAATTGAATTGATAGTAGATGTTGAGTACTCACTGCAAAGTTGTTCCATTAATCTGTTGTCCAAAATCTTACTACTTAGAATGACACGTACTTGATCTGAAAGTCTTTGGGCAGTTAAGTTTGTTAGGTTGGGTTGTAGCTGTTGAAATTCAGACAGCATTTTAGGGCGATAAGATGTAAGATTGGTTCTTCCTTTGGTAACCTTATAGTTTTTTTTTTTTTTTTTTTTTTTTTATAGAAGAGGGGGCAAACGAGCATGTGGCTCACCTGATGTTAAGTGACTACCGCCGCCCATGATCAACCGCAACACCAGGGGAATTGCAGGTGCGTTGCCGGCCCTTATAGTACGCCTTATATAACTATATATAACCTTATAGTAAATATAAAATATATATAACCTTATAGTACGCGCGCATAACACTTATATTTAATTCTTAAGTCCAGCGCATGCGTCGTTGCACTACACCATCAGTAGCGGGGCCCTCACGTAGGATGGTAATTCCTGCAGGTCCCAAGCCAGCCGCTGGCGCTCTTCGTCCCCTCAAAGATGGTACGAGGGTTCTTCTTGTGCCTCTTGGATTAGATTCCATGGATGTGTAGTCCTCCGTAGGCGATGTTACGTGTGCGATTGTGGTATTGGCGGTATTTATTCGTATTTGTCGTCTCGTTGGATGCATAATGTAACGTTAAATTAAATATTTTATAAATCTGTTTGTAAAATTTCTTAGATGACAGTTGTCAATTTGAAAGAAATACATTTTTCTTGAATTAGTTTCTTAGCCACAGATTTTCAAAGTTGTATTTATATAGATATTGTAAAATCTATTTGCGTTGAGATTTGTTATTTGGGAATTTGAAACATATGCTACAAAAATTCATTTTTAAGATTTTGTACTGACTGCATCATTTACTTTTGACAACGTCCGCCATTTTTATTATTATTTATTGGGGTATCTATATAATTTTCTCACCTGGTTGGGTTCTATAAATATATAATTATAAATTAAAATGAAAAGATAAATGTACATAAATATCAATAAAATAAAATAAATACAAAATCGACATAAATAAATAAGATCCAACCAGATGGGAGCCCCCGGCAGGGGCGAGCCCGAGACGGCCGAGGGTTAGGGGGAAAGGGAAGGAAACCGGCGGACGATGCAGGCGGTATCGAGGAGCACCGCCTTCTGCATTTGAGCCCGGAGCGGTCCGTCACGGAGTCCCGGATGACCCGAGAGGCTGACTGGGATTAGCCCATTCGCAGAGACGACTACAGGAATAATTTCGGTCGACACACCACCCCACATGTCGGTCACCTCGTGAGCCAGGTCCAGATATTTTGTTTGTTTATCTGTTTCGGCTTTCACGAGGTTCTCTTCATACGGAATGGTAATGTCGATCAAAAATATCCTTGACTGTGCCCGGTCCATCAGCACAATATCAGGCTTATTCGTAAGAATAGTCCTGTCTGTGATGATGGCCCGGTCCCAGTAGAGCCTGGCGCGGTCATTTTCGATACGGCAATTCCCGGTCCACGAGACCGTATTTCAGAGCGAGCTCCTGGTGTAGAATTCTGGCTACTAGGTTGTGCCTGTGCAAGTACTCAGAGTTAGAAAGCGCCGAACAACCGGAGATGACATGCCTAAGTGACTCCCCGGGATGGCGACAAGCTCGACAGATGTCGACAGTGCCATCCTTCCTTTAGGATGTATCTCCGATAGTTGTTGGTCTTAATAACCTGATCCTGTATTGCACAGACAAAACCCTCGGTTTCCCCGAAGAGGTCACCGAAACGTAGCCAGTTGAGGGAGGCAGCTGTATCTACGTGAGGCTCATGTAGAGCCCTGTAGTACCTCCCATGGAGCTCCTTCTCCTTCCATACGGTCTCCCGGTCGGAAATGCTCTGTACTGCCGGGTCTTGCCATTGCTCGTTGGCTAAGGATAGAGGGGTAAGTCCTTTATCACTAGAAATGACGTCATTATAGAATAGATCATCCGATCTCGCCAGGAAGTAATGACGGAGGCTGCACACTTCGCGATTATGCATGGTGAGCGCGCTCAGGAAGCCACGCCCACCATGCTTTCGCGGCAAGTACAGCCTCATTACCGACGATCTCGGATGATGCATCCTATGGGACGTCATTGTAGTGCGGACTTTTCTATCCAGGGCGTTAAGTTCAGTCTGACTCCACCTGAGTATGCCAAAGGTATACATGAGGACAGGCATGACCCAACCGTTATATGCATGTGTCTTATTCACACCGGACAAAAGCGTTAAGGACTTTGGTCAAGCGTGCATAAAACACGTCGCAAACTGACTGTTACATACCAGCCTCATTGATAAAGATGTTGTGTAACATACCCAGGTATCGGTATGTTTCAGCCTCGGAAAGGGCCCTTAAGTTGACGGGCATAGATAAGTCTATGCCCTCAGAGTTAGCAACCCTTCCCCTTTCAACATGGAGGACCGCACACTTATCAGTCCCCAGCTCCATTCCAATAGAATTGCTAAATTCACAAGTGATGTTTAGCAATTCCATAAGATGGGAGCGACTGGAGGCGAATAATTTGAGGTCATCCATATAGAAAAGGTGGGTCACTTTTGTACCTCCCTTCCGAAGCTGAAATCCCCTCCCGGAGCCCTCCAGTAAAGTACTGAGAGGGTTCAAAGAGAGGCAGAACCAGATTGGACTCAGACAGTCGCCCTGGAATATACCCCTTCTTATCCTTATGCGGCTTTCCGCAGCCGTCATCCGCTCGCCCAGATGACAGAGGATCGTACTCCACTGCCCCATACACTGCTCGAGGAAGTCTCGAACTGTACAGTCAATCTTGTACAGCTCGAGGACCCTCTTTAGCCATGTATGGGGCACCGAGTCAAATGCCTTTCTGTAATCTATCCAAGCGGCGGAGAAGTTCCGACGGTTGCGTTTCACCACTTTGCCAATGACCGCGTCAATGAGGAGTGGTTCCTTGGTTCCACGACCGCCGCCCCGACATCCATTTTGAGCGCGCGACATCACCTGATTTGAGTCCAGGTGACGAGCGATTCTCGCGCTCAAAATGGATGTTAGTGTCTTGTATATAGTCGGTAGACACGTGATGGGGCGGTATTTGCTCGGGTCTGTGGCACCCTGATCTTTAGGAACCAAATGAGTGATCCCAGTAGTGAAGAGGCTTGGGAGCGACTTCTGGTTGAGAGCCTCTTGAAACTGTCGGGCGAGCACAGCGTGACACACCATGAACCCCTTCAGCCAGTAGTGATGCAGCCCGTCAAGCCCCGGACTTTTCCAGTTCGGGGCCCTACGGACCGCCTCAGCTACGTCATCCGGCGTTATGGTGACGGGATCCATGGGCGTAATACCCGCACACTGACTCACCACAACTTCCGTCCAAGGGCCCTCGTTGTGGTTTACGGGCTCTGACCACAGGCTGCGCCAGAATGCGACCGTGTCGGCCTGATTTGGTGCTGGGCCCGTTCCACTTAATATTGGTCGCTCCAATGATTTGTAGAGCCTCTTCTGATCACTCTGGAAGAGACGATTCTGGTTGAACCGTGTCGACCTCTCGGTATATCGCCGAATTCGCTTTCCCCAAGCAGCGATTCTCTGCTTCAGGTCGTCTATGCGCTCCTCGTCTATATTATTATTATTATAATGGGGTATCTATATAGTTTTCTCATCTGGTTGGGATGTATAAATATATAATTATAAACGAAAATGAAAGGATAAATATACATAAATATCAATAAAATAAAATAAATACAAAAATACATAAATAAATAAAAGCCCAACCAGATGGAAGCCCTCGGCAGGGGAGACCAAACGGCCAAGGGTTAGGAAGAAAGGGAAAGAAACCGGCGGACGATGCGGGCAGTATCAAGGAGCACCGCCTTCTGCATTTGAGCCCGGAGCGGTCCGTCACGGAGTCCCAGTCGCCTCAGATGACCAGAGAGGCTAACTGGGATTAGCCCATTCGCAGAGACGACTACAGGAATAATTTCGGCCGGCAGACACCCCACATGTCCGTCACCTCGTGAGCCAGGTCCAGATATTTTGATTGCTTATCTGTTTCGGCTCTCACGAGGTTCTCGTCATACGGGATGGTAATATCGACCAAAAATATCCTTGACTGTGCCCGGTCCATCAGCACAATATCAGGCTTATTCGCAAGAATAGTCCTGTCTGTGATGATGGCCCGGTCCCAGTAGAGTCTGGCGCGGTCATTTTCGAGCACGGCTTCCGGCAAGTACTTGTAATACGGCAATTTCCGGTCCACGAGACCGTATTTCAGAGCGAGTTCCTGGTGTAGAATTCTGGCTACTAGGTTGTGCTTGTGCAAGTACTCAGAGTTAGAAAGCGCCGAACAACCGGAGATGACATGCCTAAGTGACTCCCCGGGATGGCGACAAGCTCGACAGACGTCGACGGTGCCATCCTTTAGGATGTATCTCCGATAGTTGTTGGTCTTAATAACCTGATCCTGTATTGCACAGACAAAACCCTCGGTTTCCCCGAAGAGGTCACCGAAACGTAGCCAGTTGAGGGATGCGACTGTATCTACGAAGGGCTCATGTAGAGCCTTGTAGTACCTCCCGTGGAGCTCCTTCTCCTTCCATACGGTCTCCCGGTCGGAATTGCTAAGCACTGCTGGGTCCTGCCATTGCTCGTTGGCTAAGGATAGAGGGGTAAGCCCTTTATCACTAGAAATGACGTCATTATAGAATGGATCATCCGATCTCGCCAAGAAGTACTGACGGAGACTGCACACTTCGCGATTATGCATGGTGAGCGCGCTCAGAAAGCCACGCCCACCATACTTCCGCGGCAAGTACAGCCTCATTACCGACGATCTCGGATGATGCATCCTATGGGACGTCATGGTAGTGTGGACTTTTCTATCCAGGGCGTTAAGCTCAGTCTGAGTCCACCTGAGTATGCCAAAGGTATACATGAGGACAGGCATGACCCAGCCGTTATATGCGTGTGTCTTATTTACACCGGACAAAAGGCTGTTAAGCACTTTGGTCAAGCGTGCATAAAAAACGTCGCAAACTGACTGTTTCACACCAGCCTCATCGATACCGATGTTCTGTGACATACCCAGGTATCGGTATGTTTCAGCCTCGGAAAGGGTCCTTAAGTTGACGGGCACAGACAAGTCTATGCCCTCAGAGTTAGCAACCCTTCCCCTTTCAACATGGAGGACCGCACACTTATCCGTCCCCAGCTCCATTCCAATGGAACTGCTAAATTCACAAGTGATGTTTAGCAGTTCCTGAAGATGGGAGCGACTGGAGGCGAATAACTTGAGGTCATCCATATAGAAAAGGTGGGTCACTTTTGTCCCTCCTTTCCGTAGCTGAAATCCCCCTCCCGGAGCCCTCCAGTAAGGTACTTATTATTATTATTATATATTGTATGTAATCGTAAGGAGTAAACTCCAGTCGTACGTCGGAGCTGGCACACGTAATTTATTCGGAAGTTGTTAAAATGTTAACGACTTCCGAAACATCCTTGGTCTAATATTTATTTTTATTATCTAATATTTATTATTAATTACTTTTTTGTAATGAAATGTGTGTAACACCTATAATTAAGTCTACACTTAGTTTTTATGATTTTTTGCAAAAATATTATGCTTTTGTTAGTGTATGTCTTGTTGGTGTTAAATAAATAAATAAATAAAAATAAAATAAATAAATATGGTGGCTGCAGACTTCGCGAAACGGAGGGATTTTATTTATAAAACCCGACGTTTCGGGTATTAAAAATAAAATTAATATTTTTTTAAATAAAATAAATAATATTTTCTAATTTCAATAGTGAAGGAGGCTGGGACTACCACCTGCTTGGGACCCTGTAAATAATAAAATTAAAACTAAACCCAAGCATATCACTGCAAGACTTCTAGACACAGTAAGTTCATTCTTCGTAGATCGGACCATAAATAACAATTAAAAAGCTGGAGGTACTCCGGGTTAACACACACATCGGGACGTCAGTCCCCCAGTGACCACGGGTGCTGGAAAGCACCATAAACGTCGAGTATTAAAAATAAAATAAATTAAACCATATAAAATCCGTAAAATTAGCTTTAATAAATGTGTAGTGTTCGCAATTTCCATACAAAACTGATGCATGTCCTTTTATACGTTATAATATTAATATTTTTCATTACAAAACTGTAACTATTTAAGAATATTCTGTCAGGCTATTGTGAAGTAGTAGAACGCCCTGACAGAGTAATTATCGTGTAATTATACTGCGGAAAACATTTAGGAAATTCATTAAAACTGAGTCATTGATATTTCTGTATATTAAAATAGTTATTATAAATCGAATATTGTACGTGGCGAGGCTGTGCTCACGACTCGTACCGCTACTTATACTTTATGTGTGTTCGTTCGTGGGATCTCACTCACCTCGCAAAATATCTTAGGCACCATTTCTTGTGAGAAGCTACCGATTATTATTCGAATATCCAATTTCTGCAAAGAAAAAATTTAATAGTGGTGGCATCCTCTAAAAATCGTTCACCCTATTTCTCTAAGTTGCTGCCGTAAAAGGTCATTATGGAAAATGGCAGGTAGATTCTTATTACATCCGCTAGATGGCGGTGTAAGCATTTCGAATATTATAATACTCAGATCGATAAGGATAACCGGAAGAAGTTCGACTTTGCAAATGACAATCCATAAGGCTAGGCAAGACTAAGGTAATTAAGGCTTATATTTGTCTCACAGATGGGCAAAGACCTCCCATTGCTAGAAGAGTTTTGAAGCAAGAAAGTGTCACTCGTATGTCCTAGTGTGTGGACTTCACCTATCTTAGGAACGTAGTATCGAAGCGGTCTGTTACGGGTTAGTGAAAGATTTCATCTCTTCGAGCGAAACACACCGAAGCCTAAATCGCGCTATCAAAATTCCGAATCATAAACAGTATATACTATAGAACATCTCCGAACTATCACATGGAGTGTTGGCCGCTCCCCGGATAGAACATCTTTGCCCGGCGGGAGGTCTCCCCTTTTCCTTCCACGACCACAGTGGTGACCCCGACGTGATCTGAACACGCAACCAACAATCTTCGGAAACTTCAAGCTTCATCATCGTCATAGAATACCCCACCCATTCGCTAGACCCGAGCAGATATCGTCTGCAGTCTTCATATCCTGCAAGCTATCTAGCTTCACAAGGTTCATCGCAGCACTGGAATAATAATGCTTCCTGTTCCTTCAAGCTATTCTCTGCGCTATACAGTGTTCGGCAGGGCTCTGAGCCTCACTGCTCGCCTCTGCTCCACGGCACTCTCGCAGATTACTTGCCTTCTTCTCGACTCACCGCAGACTACAAGGCAATCTCCTGGCACTTGCACATTCGTCGGTAACGAGGCTGCACTATCGACCTCCGGTCTGAGCAGAGGGGTGATGTGGCGGCGCTGTAGTCGCGCCACAAGCGAAACACACCCAAGCCTAAATCGCGCTATCAAAATTCCGAATCATAAACAGTATATATAGAACATCTCCGAACTATCACATGAGTGTTGGCCGCTCCCCGGGCAGAACACCTTGCCCGGCGGGAGATCTCCCCTTTCCCACCTCCGGCCACACGCTCTCATCGCTGACGTAACGGTAACATTCATGTGCTAAAAATAGATACTGTGTTGTAGTGTGAGAGACCTGAGAGAAAAAATAGAATATCCGGGTTCTAGGTCTTTGGACGAATGATTTGAATTTTGTACGATTAATAGTCCCAGAGAGCAATTTAATTTCTAAGAAGCCTTGACTCAGTATCTACTAGACGGTCTCAACTACTCGTCTATCTAGATGAGTAGTTGAGTTCGTCTCTCACCGAATTTTTTTTATGGTAGGTATGATGATGATGCTGTGGCCCATATGCCTACACTTATTCTCGATTAAGAATCAAAATGCAGATGCGTTGTCACACATATGAACCGAGATGGATTGTCTCATTTCCAGTAAAAAGGGGTCTCCGGATCTCTACACTCACACAAAACACTGCAGTATTAAGCTGCTACTTTACTCTGGTATTCTGTGAGAGCATGGTCGACCCATTCGTGCTACAATAATAATATAGCTGCAGCGTGGCTCTACCACGTATGGAAATTCAGCCACTAATTCTGCCGCTAAGCATCAGTGCGTGCACTGCCGTGTTCCAGTCCGAATATATAGGTTATAGAAAGTCAGTTTAATGACAGGCTGCGAGGCATTTCGTCTTAGTCCACGTCTGTGGCCTTCTTCAGTCTATGGACTGCAGTAGCCACTTACCATCAGGTAGACTGTAAGTTGAAATATTCTGGGTGGCCATGGTCACTTAGCATCAAGTGAGCAAGTGGTAAGCTCGTTTCTATTTTAAAAAAAGCTTGAAAATCATTTACCTTCAACTGCTGAAGTTGTTCTTTGAAGTCAGATTCCGCGAAGGTGATAGAGGCAGCGCAGGTGATATTCGCGGCTTCCAACTGCGTTACCAGCTCGTTAACCGCTAGAGAGTATATCTCTTCGTTTTGTGAAAAGGCTGTCACTGTGTCCCATCCGTGTTGCCTATGGTGTCAGAAAATTATGATTTTTCTCTTTTTTATAGTATAAGTGTCACCAACGCGCACATAGTCCACCTGATAATAAAAACAATAATAAACAGCCGATAGAATAAGAGCGCTGCAGCAAAACTTTTGCAGCATAATCCTTTGTCGGTCATCTTTTCGTTTTTTAATAGGATAAACGTAATAAACGAGCACACAGTCCACCTGATGGTAAGTTGATGCTGTGGCCTATAGACATCTACATTTATTCTCGATTAAGAATCAAAACAAAGATGCGTTGTTACCCCTGAGAACTAAGATGGAATTTCTCGTATCCAGTAAAAACGGGTCTCCGGATCTTTACACTCACTATACGAAACACAGCATTAAGCTGCTATTTTACGCTGGCATTCTGTGAGAGCGTAGTCACTCGCCGGTCGAGCCGATCCATTCTTGCTACAACCATAATATAGCTGCAGCGTGGCTCTACCACGTATAAAAAGAAGGGAATCTCTTCATTGCGTACTGTAATATATACCCATGATATGGGTTGTAATAATGATGACAATCCGCTCGATATCATGGGGATAGCGCGACGGCCATTCCTTGCCCTAAAACCCTCTCAGAAATGAGAGGAGGCCACCATGTCGTACCAGGTCGTCAATCCACCTAGTGGCAGGTTACCGTACTTGAGAACGTTCCTTCCCCATCGGTTGTCAATTCTTCACTTCACCATACTGATTCGTTGAGCGATATTGTTTACTCTAAAGCTCTTCTAAAGCGGATGTCTTCATTACGAAGTCTATCATGCAGAGAAACTAGTGTCTGATTTAGTGTAAAAACTAAGCGACGAGCGTGTAATGGACGTGCATGGCTTGAAACACAGTTCACGACAAGGGCACTGCCATATAAAATAATTTTACAGTTATTTGACTATTTTTATTTCTAGTACCATCAACTGTTGTAGTTGATACGAGGGCGACACTGACAGTTTTTAGAACTGGCCACCTGCAAACAATTTAAAAAAATAAGTTAAATTTTGAAAATGGATCTCTTTGCCAATATTATTGTGTATGTATTTTATTAATTGGTCATTTGCTTACAATTTGGCCGCAAATTGAAAATCAAATGACAATGACGTTAGACGTGGAATTACTGGGTCACCCGCCCTATAGCCGCTACCTCGTACGTTGTGATTTTTATTTATTTCCGTAAACAAAAGAAAAACTGCGAGGAAAACGTTTTATGGACGCCCACGAAGCAGTGGCTGCGTTTCAAAAATGCCGTCGGAGAACCCTAAGGACGAGTGGGCAAAATGCTTTTCTCGGTGGTTCCATCGGATACAGTGATGTATTGATGTAAATGGACACTGTTTTGAAAAGATTTAATAAAACTAATAACTTGCTAGTTTGTTTAGTCTTTGATTATCTAAGAACTTTCAGTGTCACCCTAGCAATACTAGACAAAGGAGACAAGAACTTGTACGTATACAGCACAGAGGTTTTTCCGAACCAGTGGTAAAAGTAAAAAAAAAAAGACTCATTTTAATAATGACTTGTAATATTCTCTATATTGAATCAACATTATTCTATTTATGAATACGTATGTAAAGAATGGTGTACGTCCTATGTTGTTCTGTGAGACTCAGAGGTCCCGTGTTTAGGCTAGCATTATAACATTTTTTTAAAATAGAATAAGGGTTCCAAACGAGCATACAGTCCACTTAATGGTGGATTCTGTGGCCCATAGACATCTACACCTATCCTTAGTTAAGTATAAAATTGCAGATGCGTTTGTATTAAGATAGTACCTATGCCTCGTTTCCAGTAAACAGAGTCTCCGGTTCTCTGCATTCACCAATATGAAACATCCGTTATGCCAAAAATATTGCAGCATTAATTTTGAAATAAATATATGGTAAAGTTGATCGAGCAAGTAGATGAGTTTGTATATTTGGGCTGCGTATTTAGCAGGGATGGGAGATATGATAAGGATATAGAACGACGAGTGAATGCGGGAAATAGAGTAAATGGGGCCTTCACTCATGTGAAGAGTCAAAATGTGTCGAAAAAGGCACGCATGGCAATTCACAATACTGTGTTGGTCCCTACTTTAACGTATGGTAGTGAAAGTTGGGTGTGGCAGAAGAAGAACGAGAGTAGAATAAACGCAGTAGAAATGCAGTCATTAAGGAGTATGTTAGGGCTGAATCTGAATGACAGGTTAAGAAATTGTGTAATAAGAGAAGAGTGTGGTTTGCAAGATGATGTTGTGACCAGGATTAAGAAAGGAATGCTTCGGTGGTTTGGTCATGTGGAAAGAATGAATGAGGAAAGAGTGACAAAGAAAATTTATGGTGCAGAAGTGAATGGCAGAGTCGGAAAGGGACGTCCTAGGCGAAAATTTATCGACCAAATTGGCGATTTATTGAAAACGGGCCAAATTAGGAGTACCCTTAACCGACGAGCATGTATGCGTAGGTGTATGGATGTGAAGGAGGCAAGAGAGGTGTCAGGATCGTGCCAAATGGACGTCTGTAGTCTCTGCCTACCCCTCTGGGTGACAGGCGTGAGTGTTTATGTTTATGTGAGTGTGTATGTATTTACTGCAAAAATATTACAGTGACTGTGATATTTGAAATCATAAAATAGCGTAGTAAGAGCAATAAATATTTTACGATTTGCTGTTTAATATGATTTTAAAGATAAATATAATGAAATACTTTTACTTAGGTATGGTAAGTGATTTCATGATTAACAAAGTTTTTGTTTTAGCTTCGGTTTTTACAAGTAACCACTGAACAACATGGTATACTGATAATATTTCACGATGACGGTCGCAAGCTCACTAATTCGCAGAGACGGCCATTTGTATAGAAGCTGAGCATTCTGATCATAGCGCGCGGACACAGACACGCCCTCTTGCCACTTCTCCTGTTATTTATATTTCTATGCATAGATATGATAAACCTAATGAAATAAGTATCTAACGACCTATCTACTTACAGTGTTGGTGATTGAAGTGGGGGCGAAATTAGAATTTGAACTGAGGTAGTATAGGCTCTTAACAGTCAACCTATAGAATTATTTTGATCGTGTAAAAATAGTTTATAAATAGTATAAATACGTATGTACGGAATGGTGTACGTCCTATGTTGTTCTGTGAGACTCAGAGGTCCCGTGTTTAGGTTAGCATCATAACAATTTTTTTTTGAATAAGGGTGTCAAATGAGTACACAGTTCATTCGATGGTAAGTGGATTCTGTGGCCTATAGACATCTACACCTATCCTTAGTTAAGAATCATAATACAGATGCGTTGTTACTCCTGAGGACTAAGATGGAATGCCTCATTAAACGGGTGTTCGGTTCTCTTCACCCACCTTACGAAACACAGCAGTATTACGCTGCTATTTTATACTGGTATTCTGTGAAAGCGTGGTACTTCCCCGGTCGAGTCGTCCCATTTGTGCTATAACTATAATATAGCTAAGCTATAAACTTAACAAAACATAAAAAATTGTCAACTGTGTTAGTTATCTGCATGGCAAAAAATGCGACTAATGGAACATTAACATTGTGTAAGAGATGGGCATCCACAACTATTCATTTGCTTAACGCGATCCGAGTAGCTGGTTGCTCTTTGATTATAGACGTGACGTAGTATATGTTTGTAGAATGGTGTACATAGGCGAATTTAATGCCTTAAGTATTCCCTACCAGTAAACCTATAGAATTATTATGATCGAGTTTAAGAAGCAAGAATAATATAATAAAAGCTGACAACGCAACGTGCTGATTAAATTTGGTGTTTGTGAAACTTTGCCGTCAAGCTTTAGGCCAAGTGGGAGAAGATTTTCATTGTTTGATCAAAGTTTTTATTTATCTTTTATAGTACGTTAATTGAATAAAGTAGTCAAGAAAATCAACAATTTTTTTTTAAATTTGTCAATGACAAGCGAGGATAAAGCCGACCTGGTACTGAAGTAACTCTGACTTGTAGACACATTAATCTATTTTTAATCAAGAATGTCTAATATATGGATTATATATGATAATCAAAGTAGAATACTCCGTAACCAAGCGTCATGATAGCTCAGGGGTAAAGCACTGACCCTTTACTTACCAATTTGATAGCTAGTCGGCTTCTATTTCCGACAGCTTACAATTCTCAATGCTGATTTACCTCATGCTCGACAGTGAAAAAAACATCGAGACTTGCATTTCTTGGGAATAACATATTTTCTGAAGAAACACACATTGGAGCAGTGCGGCGTCTTAATTAAACCTGTCGGAGAACAGAAAAAGCCTGTGCCCACTGATGTGATATGCTATAGCTTCATAAACTGTAGCTTCAACTTTTGCTTTAATACGTGCGTGTTAAGGCCGTCTTATAGTGCGAGATTAAGTTTATTTTTTTATTTTTTTTTATTTTTATAGGATAGGATGACAAACGAGCACACAGTCCACCTGATGGTAAGTGGTTGCTGTGGCCCATAGACATCTACATTTATCCTCGATTACGAATCAAAATGTAGATGCGTTGTCATCCGTGAGGACTCAGATGAAATGCCTCGTTTCCAGTAAAAAGGGTCTCCGGTTCTCTACACTCACCATACAAAACACAGCAGCATTAAGCTACTATTTGACGCTGATATTTCGTGAGAGCGTGGCCCTACCCCGGTCGAGCCGACCCATTCGTGCTGCAACTATACTACTAATATAACTGCAGCATGGCTACACCACGTAAACCACTCTTTTTTATGGAATAAGGGTAACAAACGAGGACACAGTCCACCTGATGTCAAGTGGATGCTGTGGCCATAGACATTTACATTTATCCTCGTTTAGGAATCAAAATGCAGATGCGTTGCCACTCCTGAGGATCCAAAAAGGATCTCCGATTCTCTACGCTCACTATATGAAACACAGCACCATTAATCTGTTATTTTACGCTGGTATTCTGTAAGACCGTGGTCCTACCCCAGTTGAGCCGACCCATTCGCGCTACAGAGATACCCGTA